ATATATATATATATATATACATATTATTTGCTCAGGAATAAATGTATTAATTTTAATTTTAAATTTTTTAAAAATATATTAATGTGCAAGTCACATATTGTTTAAGCACGTAAAATGCACGGAAAGTGTACAACAGCTATCACAAGTCATTGAACAATAACTGTGCACGGAAATTCCTAATTACATCTTAGCCCCAAGTCTATAAAGGAACTACAAGATGTTGCCGATGCATATGTCCAAGTGCATAAGCATAAGGGTCCTTTTCTAGGATCTTAATAGAGTGAGTCACAAAGTTGGCCCTATCTTGAGCATCTGATTGGGTTAACTCTCATCACTACGAACGCCGAACGTTAACCTAAGCCTATGCTAGGAACAATCCTACAAGATCTAATAATAATATTATAACTCACATTATTCATCCGGGCAAATACAAGTAATGTTCATTTCCCTATCATCACCCTCAAATTCAACTAAGGGTCGTCTGGTTACCACCACCGAAATGCAAACTCATGAGACCTAAACATATATGGTGCAACAAGATACATGATCATACTTGGAAAAATAAGACCCAACATGCATAAACACAAAGAAGCAATGCATAAAATGTATGATAAAGAATATGCCTAACAACAATGGCACCATGTCATGTACTCTCGGAAGAGGATAAAATCAAGAAAGATGCATGCAGATGAGCAATCAAGAGCTTTCAAGGAAGGTGAAAATCCTGAAAGGTCAAACTTAAAAGTGCAAATAACATGAAAAATAACTTAAGAACGCATGCATGCAAGACTAAAGGAATTGTGATATGCATGTAAATTTCTCTAAATTTAAAAGTTATTTTTTACCTTGCTAGGTAGAGAAGCAGCTGAAAATATCATAATCGTTCTTCATTCCAAGCCACAAAACTAAAGCTTTTTCCCGCCCCGAAAAGGAACGAAGGCTACTTACTATCCTCCGCCTTCCACTCAGACGCTCAAAAAATCCCAACGCACCAATACCAAAGCTCCACCTGGCCCCACCCCTCCCCGAACTCAGATAAGCTCACCGTCGCTCTTTCCCCAGCCACGTGTCAAACCTCCCACCAAACATATCGATCACCTCTCAATTCCTTTCCTCTGCTTCTATACATCCCCCAATCTTCCACAGTCCCTTTCTACAGCAATGGCGTCCCTCGCCTTCACTCCCTTCACTCTCCACATCTCCAAAACAGAACACTTCTCCCCCCTCTCCCACATCAAATCCTCCTCCCTTCCCCACCTAACCCAACCCCCACCAAGAAGCTGCTCATGCACCGCCACCGTCGCCGGCAACGGCCTCTTCACCCAAACCAAGCCCGAAGTTCGCCGGATACTTCCAGACCCCAACTCCGGCGAGGATTTCCTGCGGCTTCCCCGGGTCAAAATAGTCTACGTCGTGCTCGAAGCGCAGTACCAATCCTCCCTCTCCTCCGCCGTCCGTTCCCTCAATGCCTCCCGCCGCCACGCCTCCTACGAGATCGTCGGCTACCTCGTCGAGGAGCTCCGCGACGAGACCACCTACCGCACGTTCTGCGACGACCTCGCCGCTGCCAACATCTTCATCGGCTCCCTCATCTTTGTCGAGGAGCTGGCCCTCAAGGTGAAGGAGGCGGTGGAGAAGGAGCGGGACCGCATGGACGCAGTCATTGTCTTCCCGTCCATGCCTGAAGTCATGAGGCTCAACAAGCTCGGATCCTTCAGCATGTCTCAGCTGGGCCAGTCCAAGAGCCCCTTCTTCCAGCTCTTCAAGAGGAAGAAGCAGGGAGGGGGCGCAGGGTTCGCTGAGAGCATGCTGAAGCTCGTCCGCACCCTCCCTAAGGTCCTCAAATACCTGCCCAGCGACAAGGCGCAGGACGCCAGGCTCTACATCCTCAGTCTCCAGTTCTGGCTTGGCGGCTCGCCAGAGAATTTGGAGAATTTCGTCAAGATGATCGCCGGCTCCTATGTCCCGGAGCTCAGGAAGGTGAAGATTCAATACGCCGATCCGGTGCTGTACCTTGACAGCGGAATCTGGCATCCGATGGCTCCGGCGATGTATGACGATGCGAAGGAGTACTTGAACTGGTATGGAACGAGAAGGGATCTTAAGGCCGAGGCGAGGGATCCGAAAGCTCCGGTGATCGCACTGGTGTTACAGAGGAGCCACATCGTGACGGGAGACGATGGGCATTATGTGGCGGTGATAATGGAGTTGGAGGCAAGGGGGGCGAGAGTGATACCGATATTTGCAGGGGGGCTGGATTTCTCGGGGCCGGTGGAGAGGTATCTGATAAATCCGGTGAATGGGAAGCCGTTTGTGCACGCGGTGGTTTCGTTGACGGGATTCGCGCTGGTGGGAGGGCCGGCGAGGCAGGATCATCCGAAGGCGGTGGAGGCGTTGAGGAAGCTGGATGTGCCGTATATGGTGGCGTTGCCGCTGGTGTTCCAGACGACGGAGGAGTGGCTTAATAGCACCTTGGGTTTGCATCCCATTCAGGTTGCCTTGCAGGTGGCGTTGCCGGAGCTCGACGGAGGGATGGAGCCGATTGTGTTTTCCGGCAGAGATGCCAGAACAGGTTCGTTCGTTTTTATATATTCGCCTCCAGCAGCTTTACTGCATACATACAATATAAATTAAAACATTCGAAGTAATTGGGATGATGATATCTGAACTAGTTTTATATAAAATTTTAAAGGGAAAAACAAAATTTTAATATGCTAATTAACAGGGAAGTCACATGCTTTGCATAAGAGAGTGGAGCAGCTTTGTACGAGAGCTATAAGATGGGCGCAGCTCAAGAGCAAATCAAAGGTAACTAGAGTCATCTCTATGCTCATTCTTAAAACTTTCAACTTAAGATAATGCAGCTTGATGAGATGAAAATTATGATACTTATATGGAAAATTTACATACATACCATACAATTCTACCATACAATTCTTATGTATTTACATATCTAACACCTAAAATTTGATACGTACACTTACAACACGGTTTCATAAAAATATGCATTAAAATGTGTATTTCACTTTCAAAAAGATAGTGATGGTAGTTAGGGGTGCAAATGAGACGAGTCGGCTTGAGCACGGCTTGTTAACGAGCTCATGAGCTGAGTTTTACCGAGCCACGAGCTTGAGCTCAAATTTGAGCTCGTATATTAAACAAGCTAGAGCTTGGATTGTCCCGGCTCGGCTCGTGGGCTTGCGAACCGGCTCGATTAGCTTGCTACTAGTCATTTCAAAACATTTTCCGATGAGCTCCCACCGCTGTCTCCTTCGGCCATCAATACCTTCTCCAACGAGCTCCGACAAAAATGGAGTTAGTTCGAGCTCACGAGCCAACTGCTACCAACACGAGTCGAGCTCAAGCTTGCCATTCGAGCTCGAGCTAAGAGTTTGCCAGACAAGCTGACCTCGAACTGGCATGACTTGAGCTCGACTTGACTAGTTTTGCACCTCTAATGTTAGTATTTTCGATATGATGTTGCATGCACATAAATATGAATGTTAAATTGTTAGACCTATAAATATATAAGAACAGTGTGGCAGGTATGTAAATGCCCGCCTCTACTTATATATTGAAGTTCACATCGACTTATTCAAAACCTTAGTTTACATCATTTAATAGGTCAAACATATTCTAAACTTTTATGCTTATAATCAAAGCAACTCTAATTACAATGCATCTAATATGATTAAGACTGTTCAATTTGAAGTTCGTTAAGATACTCTTGAGATTTGGGTGTTCAAATGTTTTAGAGATAAGAATTTAAATATTTTTCTTAAAATTCATAAATATATCAAATTCTTGCACATTTAAGAGGAGAGTTCTCAGTAATAGTTTTGATAGTCAAAGATAATTATAGAGCTCTACTTGTCGTCAGTCGATGTTAGTTGTTGGCTAACATCAATGTTTATCATCACCCCACATTAATGGTGGTCATCCTCACTACTACTTGCTCCAAATCAATAATTATTGTCATAATATTTGATATCTATCTTTTCAATTGTTGAATATTCCCTTCTATAAGAAGATGAATCAAGGATAATTCTCGCCTTTGTTGTGCTCGAAGACATAAATTATTAGTGGGAATAACATGAAAAATCTCAAAGGGTCAGATTTGAGCAATCAAATAGATTTTATTACTCAAACATGTCTCGACATCTATTGCCCGACACAAATCAAACTATATGATATAAATCAATCATCAATATAACACCCATCTTTGAATTTCTAAATTTCTTGCTTATGAGAAAGGTGGTCAAACTTATCAACCTTCGTTACTCGACTTCTAATGTTTCTTATTGATCACCATTTGATGCTTTCAAATAAGAGGAATCAAAGATAGATGATGACACTATCACATTATTATGATTAATCACCTTATATAACCTATTGAATAGTTAATAAAAATTATATCATAGTTAATCACAACTGAATTATACATTTATACAACAATTAAATTGATAATTGCTAATTAGTGATATAGCAAAATAAGTGTGATAATTAGTAAAGGTGATGGAGAAGCTCAAAAAAGTGGTACTTATAATTTAAAATATTGATGTTCAAGTTAAGTAATTGATGTAAAATTTTCTCTAAAAATGATGGTGGGTCATTAAAGTGTGGATGCCAATTTAAATGGAAGATATTTTTTTAATATTTAAAATTACACAAAATTTTAATAACATGTAAATAAATTACTCTTTTCTTAACTATGTAAAAATTCTAATCAAGATTAATTTTTTAAACATACTCATGCCTTTCTGTATATTAAAAATTTGTGAATATTTACAAGCAATATTTATTGGTGCAATAAATTATATAGGGTAGTTTACTTATGTAGAACATAATTCTTATGTATTTAACATATCTCTCACCTAAACTTCTATATTTACATACTCAGCAGTTTGGTGCTATCAACTTACTCATAAAATGTGCATTTGAATTTTGAAAAAAATAGTAATCATACGGCTTCAACAAATTTCTAACATCCAACATGAATTTTGAGATATTGCATGAATCTCGAGACAAATTTTTTAAGCAAAGGACGTTCAAACTTCGATTTAAAGTCATCAGGAGCTTCAATTTGAGCAAACTTACAGTCAAATTGAGTTGAATCAAGTTCTGATCAAGCCAATAAACCACTTTTGGAAGCTTTTCAAACATAATTGGAAGGTCACAAAGGAGTGTCAAATATGACGTGCTTATAGTCAAATTGAGCGTTAAAGAACTCAAGATTACTCAATTCCAATTCCGACATTATTAAAACAGTCAAATGTCCATCAAACACCGTCTGATCGAGGGGATCTCTCACGATCGTCCAATCAAGAGTATTTTGGATTAATGTCTTATTTGCAATTTAGACTCTATCAATAGAGCCCCAAGCTCCTCATGAGAGAGGACAAAACGCCAAAACAAGAGAGAGAGAGAGAGGGAGCAGAGCCTTCATAAGAGGAAGCTGCAACTTAGCCTCTTACATCGTTGTCTCAGGCCGCCCCAGCCTTCTGACAATCGCCGCCTTTGGGTCGCTTTCGTTTCCTTCCGACTGTCATCGCTTCCCCACCCACTCCCGCCCAGGGTTGTTCCCGCCGCTTCAAAACCCCCGCCGTCTCATATCGCCGCCACCTCCGCCTTCCGGCCATCGCAGCTTTCAGGTCGTCGACTTCTTAAGCCGTCGTTTTCGGGCCTCCGCCCTTGCTTTCGAGCCGCCGACGTCTCCGGCTGTGGCCGCCTTTGATTCGCCGCTGCTTTAGAGCTGCAAACATCTCTGTTCGTTGCCACCTTTAGACCGCAACCGCCACCATCAGGTCTTCGTGCTGCAGTCGCCTTTGGGTAGCCACAGTCTCCTTCGGTCGTCAACTCCTTTCGACTGTCATCGACGCCTTCGGGCCACCACCGTCTCCTTCCTGCATTCACCACCTTCTGGCGATCGTCGTCTCCTTCCGAAAATCGCCGCCTCCCGTCCCTTATCGTCTGGGGCCACCGTCGACTTTCAGGTTGTTAACGTCTCCGGTCGTAGTCATCGCTGCCTTCTGGCCGTGGTTGCTTTCGGGCCGCCAACTTCTCTGGTCGCTGCTGCCTTTGAGCCGCAACCATTTCTTTCTAGCCATTGTCGACTTCCGGTCGTCGCCACATTCGGGCTGCCACTGTCGTCGTCTCCTTCCTATCGTCATTGCCTCCAACCACTGTCGCAGCCTTTGGGCCGCCGTCGTCTCCATCTACCATCGCCGCCCTTTGGCTGCCGCCACCGTCTCAGATATTCACCACCATCTCAGGCTATCGCCGCCTACCGGCAGTCGCCGTCGTCTCAGGCCATCACAGCCTTCCGGCAGTCTCTGCCTCCGCCTTCCGACCGCCGCAGTTTTAAGCCAACGTCGCCTTCCAACCACCGTCGTCTCAGGCCGTCTCTGCCTTCAAAATCCATCTCCAACCACCATTGTCTCTTGACCACCGCAGTTTCAGGCCGTCGTCACCTTCCGATCGCCGCCTACGTAATCCAGCCGCCGCCTACGTAATCCAGCCCCCGCCGCTGCCTCAGGCCACTTTTGATTACTACCACCTTCAATTGTCGCCCATCCAACCAACTCATGCCCCCACGGCCTATGGACATCATCACAGCTCGTCGCTACAACTTACATAACCAATTACAACTTACATGGTTCATAGATCGTGCAACTCTTGACTCCGGTCTCTGAGTCTTGCGGACACCGTCACAGTTCGTCACTGCGTCCCACGTGACAAACTACAACCTACATGGTTCATAGCTCGTTCACTTCCTGACTCCAACTGCGTGGCTTAAGGACATCATCACAGCTTGCCAATATACCCTACTTGATCAACTACGATCTACGTGGTTCATAACTCATGTAACTTTCAACTTCGACCCCCGCTGCCTACGAACGCTGTCATAGCTTGTCCCTACGGCTTACCCGACCAATTACAATTTACATTGTTGACAGCCCGTACGGCACCTTACTCTGGCCTCTGCAAACTATGGAAGTCATCACAGCTCACCACTACATCTCATGTGACAAACTACAACTTACGTGATTCACAGCTTTTGCAGCATCCTACCACAATAGCAATGACCAACTGAAGCTCCTGAGATAACCATCTGCAGCCTGCATGACCAACCACTATCATGGATTTCAAATAATTTCAATCCAAAAAGCTAGTGCTACAAGCACCGTGTACAACATTTACAACAAATTATTCTCTCCATAGCAACTAACTACAGCTCTTGCAACCTACTTTCATTGAGAAATGCACTCATTACAACTAAACTACGACTACTATCGACAAACCACTACTATACATTTACAACAATTATCCTTATAACTTCATCTTCCCTAAATCAAGAGAAGAGTGAGTCAATATGCTCAAAATTACAGTGGATATCTCGTGGTTTTTTTTTTTCTTCAGGGTTTTCTACATAAAAACTTCTGGTGTCGCTACTGATTTCTTACTTCTATTTGAGTGTGTGCTAGGTTTTTGTACTTAGTAAGACGATAATCATTTATTCTGCCACTGTGAATTTTCTAGCATAAATCGAGTAATAGTACTATTTTGATGGATATTAAAGATTTAAATATTATTTGTGCAAATATGAATCTTTGCAAATATGAATCTTTAAGAGTGAGATATGTAAATATATAATAATTGTGTGCCATGTATGTATATGCTCCAATTTTATAACGAACTAAATCTCTTCTGCACCTTACCAGGAAGAGAAGAAAATCGCAATCACGGTTTTCAGCTTTCCACCGGATAAGGGGAACGTGGGCACCGCGGCTTATCTCAACGTCTTCTCCTCCATCTTCTCCGTTCTCATCGACCTCAAGAAAGACGGATACAACGTCGGCGATCTCCCGGCCACCGCCGAAAACCTAATTGAAAGCATCATCCACGACAAAGAGGCGAAGTACAGCAGCCCTAACCTCAACGTCGCCTACCGGATGAGCGTCCGCGAGTACAAATCCCTCACTCCCTACGCCGCCGCCTTAGAAGACAGCTGGGGAAAGCCCCCCGGAAACCTAAATTCCGACGGCGAAAACCTCCTCGTCTACGGTAAGCAATACGGCAACGTGTTCATTGGCGTTCAACCTACTTTCGGCTACGAAGGAGACCCGATGCGTCTTCTCTTCTCGAAATCAGCCAGCCCTCACCATGGCTTCGCGGCCTACTACTCCTTCGTGGAGAAGATTTTTGGAGCCGACGCTGTGCTTCATTTTGGCACTCATGGATCGCTGGAGTTCATGCCGGGAAAGCAGGTGGGAATGAGTGATGTTTGTTATCCTGATAGCCTGATTGGAAACATACCTAATATATATTACTACGCCGCGAACAATCCGTCGGAAGCCACTATTGCTAAGCGAAGAAGCTACGCTAATACGATAAGCTACTTGACTCCGCCGGCGGAGAACGCCGGGCTTTATAAGGGTTTGAAACAGCTGTCGGAGCTCATCTCCTCTTACCAGTCCCTCAAGGACACTGGACGAGGATCGCAGATTGTTAATTCAATAATCAGTACCGCCAAGCAGTGTAATCTGGACAAGGATGTGACATTGCCGGAGGAAGGAGTAGAGCTCTTACCGAAAGAGAGAGATCTTGTGGTCGGAAAGGTTTATTCGAAGATAATGGAGATCGAGTCTCGCTTGCTTCCTTGCGGGCTTCATGTGATCGGAGAGCCACCGTCGGCGATTGAGGCGGTGGCCACGCTAGTCAATATAGCAGCGCTGGATCGACCTGAAGACGATATATTTTCCCTGCCGGGAATTTTAGCAGAGACTGTAGGAAGAGATATTGAAGATGTGTACAGGGGAAGCGATAGAGGAATCTTAGCTGATGTCGAGCTTCTGAGACAGATAACGGAGGCCTCGCGAGGAGCCATTACTGCTTTCGTGGAAAAAACAACGAATAAGAAAGGGCAAGTGGTTGATGTGGCCGAGAAGCTTACCTCAATGTTTGGATTTGCTCTTGTTGAGCCATGGATTCAGTACTTATCGAAGACAAAATTCTTGAGAGCGGACAGGGAGAAGCTGAGGAATCTGTTCCAGTTTCTAGGCGAGTGCTTGAATCTTGTGGTAGCCGATAATGAATTAGGAAGCTTGAAAATGGCTTTAAAAGGAAGCTATGTTGAGCCTGGGCCTGGTGGAGATCCTATAAGAAATCCGAAGGTGTTGCCGACGGGAAAGAACATTCACGCGCTGGATCCGCAGGCGATTCCCACGGCGGCGGCAATGCAGAGCGCGAAAGTGGTGGTGGATAGGCTGTTGGAGAGGCAGAAGGTTGACAATGGCGGAAAGTATCCGGAGACAATCGCTCTGGTTTTGTGGGGGACGGATAACATCAAGACTTACGGAGAATCCCTTGCTCAGGTGCTGTGGATGATCGGAGTACGACCGGTTTCTGACACTTTCGGCCGCGTAAATCGAGTGGAACCAGTCAGCCTTGAAGAACTAGGCCGCCCTAGAATCGATGTAGTCGTCAATTGCTCCGGCGTCTTCCGAGATCTATTCATTAACCAGGTAAGTCACACTAAACCACCATACTAAACAAATTAACTAGAAATTTAACCTAATTTACCTGCAGATGAATCTACTGGATCGAGCAGTGAAAATGGTGGCGGAATTCGATGAACCAACGGAGCAAAACTACATTCGCAAGCACGCAATGGAGCAGGCGGCGGAACTAGGGGTGCCAGTCCGAGAAGCAGCCACCCGTGTATTCTCCAACGCATCCGGCTCCTACTCCTCCAACATCAACTTAGCAGTCGAGAACTCTTCCTGGAACGACGAGAACCAGCTTCAAGACATGTATCTAAGCCGCAAGTCCTTCGCCTTCGACTCCGACGCCCCCGGTGCGGGCATGATCGAGAAACGGAAGGTATTCGAAATGGCACTTCGCACAGCGGACGCCACATTCCAAAACCTAGATTCGTCGGAAATCTCCTTAACCGATGTCAGCCATTACTTCGACTCCGATCCGACGAATCTTGTACAGTCACTTCGCCGCGACGGGAAGAAACCTAGCGCGTACATCGCCGACACGACGACGGCGAACGCGCAGGTGAGGACGCTGGCGGAGACCGTAAGGCTCGATGCGAGGAAACCCGAAATGGTATGAGGGAATGATGGGGAGCGGGTATGAAGGGGTGAGGGAGATTGAGAAGCGGTTGACGAACACGGTGGGATGGAGCGCGACGTCGGGACAGGTGGATAACTGGGTTTACGAGGAGGCGAATAGCACCTTCATAAAGGACGAGGAGATGCTGAAGAGGTTGATGGATACAAACCCTAACTCGTTCAGGAAGATGGTGCAGACATTCTTGGAGGCGAGCGGGAGAGGGTATTGGGACACTTCCGAGGAGAATTTGGAGAAGCTGAGGCAGCTATATATGGATGTGGAAGATAAGATTGAGGGGATTGAGCGCTAAAATAAGATTTGAGGTGGACTGATTTGCATATTTGATTTATGTTTTATGAGGTATGTGAGATTTATGATTTGGTAATTATTGTTGTTTGGAAAAATTAATGATGGTAGGATAATGTAAGGCTGCAAGGGTTTATATATATAAATGCAATGATGGTATAATTAGGGGTGTAAACGAGTGTTCGGTTCTTTTATATTTCGAGCTCAAAAAGTGTGTTCGTGTTCGGCACGTTTGCTTAACGAGCCGAACACGAGTCATTCACGAACAAAGAGTCGTTTTGATAACCCTAATCAGATAGTCGTAAGATTATAAGGATTGAGACTAAATTTAAAAAATATTGTTTATATTAAAACATCATTTGAATCTAGTTCAATAACTTTTATTAATTAAATTGAAATAATTTTATTAATAAATTAATAGGAAAAAATGGTTTTGAAAAATAGTAGTATTATAATATAATATATTTTAATTATAAAAGATATCTTTTATATTGATGATAAAAAATTTGAAAAAAGAGTCATTGTAAATGTGTGGAGTTTAAATGGGATTTTTTTTTCTAGTTGTCTTGGTGCTTTGTTAGGGTTTCTTTCTTCTCAGCACCTTTTTCTCTCTATGCTCCTCTTAAAACTTAGCCGCCTCTGATAAACTCTTTCCTAATCCCTACTAAGGGGCATTGGCCTTGGCCCTCAACACATGGATTTAGCTCCTCCCTTCTATTTTCGGCTCACCTCCCTCTACAAACTTGAAAGGGCTTTGCTCCTTAACATTTCCAACGCACCTTTAATCTATTTTACCTTCCTTCTATTGGTAAAACAGTTGTCTTTTATGATGAGGAAGTTGAGGAAGGCTCTAAACGTTGGAACCATGCACGTGTGGGCTATGCTATGGACAAAAGTCATTTTTACGACAACCTATTGCAAACTATTTTCAAATTTTGGAAACTTAAAGGTCTGGTCGATCTTATCTCTCTCTACGAAGGGGTTTTCTCTTTTAACTTTACTTGCTTGGAAGAACTTGATATGGTGTTAGATAGCGGTTCATGGTTTATTTCTAGAAAACTTTTCATATTTAAGTGATGGTCATCAGATTTTCAGTCTATCAAGGAAGATTTCAAGAAGCATATTTGGGTTAAACTCCCTAACCTTTCATTGTGTTGCTGGACAAAGAATGACATTTCTAAGATTGTTAGCTCTATTGGAGGACCTTTAATAGTGGATTCGCTAACTGCCAAGGGCACACGTCTCATTTTTGCAAAGGTTAGCATCCTAATGAATACCCAATCCATTCTCCTTGATTCATTCAATATTAACATCAAAGGTAAAGATGTGTTACAACTTATTATTTACGAATGAAGGCCCCTACATTGTATCTGTTGTGATATATTGTACCTGTTGTGATAAATTTGACCATGAACCCACTGCATGTCATAATTCCCATTATAAAAATCAAGCAATGTTGCTCCCATTCTTAGACGCGAAAGTCATTCCATAAATTTTGTTTCTCTCAAAAACAAATCACTCTACCTCCCGTTCCACTTCCTCTGTTGTCACTACCTAATCCCAATCTTGACCTAAATGCTCCTCTCTTGCTATTCTTAATCCTCCTTCCTTTCAACTCCCTCTTTCCCCTGAACCTAACACTGACCCAAATGTTATAGCTCCAAACTCTCATTCTCTAGCCTTAAATGCATATATTAAAACCTCCCTAACACCTTGCTTAGTTAAACTCATCCAATATCCCCTCCTCCTCTAAACAACCCATGAACCAACCCTTCTAGCCCTCCTCCCTCCACGACCCTATCCACCACTTCTAAATCTAGAAATGACTGGCAAAAAGAAGGGCCCCCTCCAACTGAATAACTTTTTTTACATTTTATCCTAACATGGTTTCTTGTAATGTTAGAGGATTTTGCAATCCAACTAGAATTAATGAATGCATAAAGTTATTAAGACTCATAAATTAGATTTTATTTGTTTTCTAGAGACATAACTCAACTCTGATTCTCTCCTTGCTCATATGATCTCCAAACAATACACTATCTTCCAACATGAGAAAGAAATGAACATTTTCCTCATCTCTCCAAATGGTAAAATCTAGATAAAATTGAATTATGACAACAATGCTTTTAATTTGCTGGAGGTTCAATCCCAACTATGCCAAAAGCTTAATGCTCAAAAGTTGATATAAGAAAAATTGGCCAAGCTCATAAGTATACATATCAAGTAATGTATAGATTTTTTTTTGAGTTCGCGTATAAATTCAACGAGAAAATGATTAAAAAGAAATTTGGATAGGTGAATCACTAGTTTACTAATCTACAAAATGTAGTTTGATGTGATCACAATTGCAAGAATAAAATCCTGCAATCCTATGTAAAAACAATAAGCAAATCAAACAACATGATCGGGGACAACTAGAAGCCTGAGTTTGTAGTGTCGTTCAAAGGGATGATGCTTATACTTCCGTGGCTCAAACATAATGCATTTTCATGTTTCTCTTAAGATTTCCTCTATGTGCTAGTTCCCGACCAGGGAAAAAGTTCATCTAAACTTATGCCCATTTCATTAGAAGCGTAGGAAACTATATTACAATTAAGTAGAGCTTAACCATGCTGTTTTAGCTTTCTTTTTTCTCTTTTTATTATTTTAAACTTGTTGATCATCTCAACCTTCCCTTATTTGAATAAACCTCTCCCGAATCAAATCAATGATTCGAAGAGGCGAGGAACCGAATAATAAATGACATACGACAAAGTGACAAACCTATGCAAGATATTTCCTTTCTCGTGTATAGAACTTCCGTGTTTTCGAATAATAATGATTATCATTACATCTCAATCAAATAGTTCAACAGGTCATTATCAGAACATGATATTTTCTGAATCCTTTCTGAGCGGATTCTACTACTTGATCTATGGAGCCTCATCGATCAACTAAACTTTTCTTGAAAATTTTAGTTTAAACCAAAAACAACATGAGGAATTAAAAAAAAAAAAAAAAAAAACTTTTTATAACTTCTTATTTTTCATTCTATTTTCAATGAATATATCATGCACTCAATCGCAACAGATGAATTCAACCAAAGCCAAAATAATATATCCTGATTTTTCTCAATTTGGGAGAATTCAAATTTTGACAAAAAAAAAAGGTCTATTAAAAGAATTTCAAACACTTCAAAAATTATTTTAAATTTACTCTGCACCTACGAATCTAAAATCCGAGCCATTCAATATAGCTATGATGAATAATGAAAGGCCATCTACATACATGCAGAGGTGTATAAGAGCCGAACACGAGTTAGCCTAAGCTCAATTCGTGTTCAGCGCGTTAAAAAATATTATTATCCATGTTCGACTCATTTATATTTCGAACAAAAAAAATTGTGAGTGTGTTCGACTCGTTTATTTAGTGAGCCGAACACGGGCTGCTCGCGAACAAATAGTTATTTTGACAACCATAATTACAGAAGCGTAAAATGTTAAGAGCTAAGGCAACATTTAACTCTTATTGTTTATAATAAAATATCGTTAAAATATGATTCAACAGCGTGTGTGTGTGTGTGTGTGTGTGTGTCAACAGCGCGCGTGTGTGCGTGCGTGCGTTTGATGAGTTGTATTTTAAGCCAAAATGAGCCGAATACGAACGAACAAATCTTTTGTTCGTATTCAGCTCGTTTATAGATCAAGCACAAAAAAAAAATGTGTGTATGGCATGTTAACATAGCAAACAAATCGAATACTAGCCTCTTAACGAATCGAACACGAGTTGTTCGCGAACAACGAGCCGTTTTGACCGCCCTACATATGTACCACAGAATTAACGTGCATTTAAATATCCAACACCTAAATTTATTTATTAACTTTTTAAAAACCAAATGCATATTTTTATGCATAAGTTTACATCACCAAAGTATTACAAATGTCCATATCAAACTTTAGGCATTACATATATAAATTCATAAAAATTATGTGCTACTTATGCAAATTTCCAAAAATAAAAAATCATGATTAAAAAGGCAAGAAAAAACCAACAAATATGCAAAATCTCATTTACTCTCATTTATTAAATGAAAATCAACAAAAATAATTAAACAGCTTGAGTTAAAAAAATAAATTTAATTATTTATAATTTAGCTGAAAGCTTGGAAATTGCTCTGCCATTGCCAGAACAACAAGAGAAGTCCAACCAGTGAAGGGTCTTGTGCCTCTGCCCTTCCCTTTGCCTGCTTGATCATACTGTTCCCACAAATACCCAGTCTCATAATAGTTTTTCACAATATTTCTGAAATAAGATGAAAAAAAAAACATTAGGATTTACATAAATAGACATCAAAACATTAGGATTTACATCTTTTAACACTGAACTTTTGCTCCTCATATTAACCAAAACTCCGTTAACAAATCTCGTCAAATGCTCGACTCAACAGAATAAACCGATTAGAATCAGCAAAAAGTTAACTGGAATCAGGCGAAAAAGGAAATATTACGTGTTGATAACATACATAAATAGAAAAACACTAGGATTTACACATTTAACACTGAACATTTGCTACTTAAATTAACTAAAACTATGTTACCAAATCTAGTCAAATGCTCGACTCAACAGAATAAACCAATTAGAATCGGCAAAAAGTTAACTAGAATCAGGCGAAGGAGGAAATATTACGTGTCGATAACATACGTACGAATTTGATGGTATTGTTCGCCATAATGCCTCCAAATTCGCATCTATCCGCACGTACCATATACCACCAAATCCACATCTATCCGCACCTAATATTTCTTCTAGGCGAAGGGGCTAACTAGGATTAAGCAAATACATAGGCAATGATGCCTTTGGTAGGTGTTTGTTTTTATGGGCATTTACATACATACCATACAATTCTTATATATTTACATATCTAACACCTAACTTTCATATTTAGGTACATAAAACTTAACTCTTGGGCATCACATCAAAAATAGCACCGTTGCAAATTTTCTAAAAGCAAAATACACATTTTCATGCATACATTTTAATAAAAAGTGTTATAAATGTAAAAATCAAACTTTAGGTGTTGGATATGTAAATAAATAAAAAACATGTAGTATGTATGTAAATATCAAACTTTTCATGTATTTGCATATCACCACCCAACCTTCAATTTTTACATGTATGACCCCTTATCTTATACATAAAAAGGCATATTTAACATTCTAAAATTTACAATAATCGTATTTTTTATGTGATATGAAATATGTGAGCGGTATAAATGTAAAAAGCCAAGTTTAGGTACTAGATATGTAAATACATACAAATAGGTGGGGGTATATATGTAAATGCCCCTTTTCTATTTTATTTTTACTGCTATATATAAGTGAAAATTATGAGTTTAATATGTAGATTTTAATGTTTTACATGCTATATATGTATAGATATATATATGTACCTGATCAAATTAGATCTAAGATCTTTGTATAGTTCATGTGCTCTACTCCTGTATGGTCCATCAACTGCATGAAACAAAATTAGGAGAAAATTTAAGGGCCAAAACGCAATTTTTTTTTCCCACAAATAGATTATAATTTTGCAGATTTATCTATCAACTAAATAAATAAAATAAGTAAAAACAGACCTTTGGAGTAATGGTTTAGAGCTGCAAGAATCATGTAATTTAGATTTATCCAAATGGGGCCTCTCCAGTATGGTGGGTCATGCTCTGTGTTGCGTTTCATGTACAAGGAGCTGCATTAACCAAAAATTGCAAAGATTAAAATTTAACTTTCATAAATTTAATTTATATTATAAAACCTCGTGCTTATCAAGATTCATTTTTAAAATTAGATATAATATATTTCAAAAGAATTCATCTAACTTATAATCCAGCTTATCTACTTAAATTTAAGGGAATTACTAATGCTCGGCTTCAATGAATATTGTATGCACCTTCGATGCTCGATTTGACGAATGTTGGAGGGAGCTTCAATATGACGGTTTCAACTATGAGGTATAATTAAGACTATATGCATATTTATAATTTTCTAATTTTCGTGTTCTACTTTTTTCGAAATCGTGTTAAGCTCGGGTCGGATGCGGTGTTGAGGTGTCTCACGGACATGTTCGGTTCTGAAAAAAGTTCAGACAAGTGTTGGTGTCTAATATGTGTCCGACACCGGTACAATAAACTTTTAGAAGTGTTGGTACTACACACACACACATATGCCAACTTATCAATGTATACAAACGTGAATTTTGCAATTTAAAATACCACTTAATTCCTATGTATATACATGTCTAACACCTAAACTTTAATTTTTACATATATGCCAGAAAAGGTGTATTTCATTTTTCAAAAGTTAAAATAATGGTATTTCGATATGATATTAAAGAATTGAGTTTATAAATATAAAAATCAAACTCCAGGTGTTAGATATGTAAATACATATGAATTATGTGGTATATATGTAAATGCTCCATAATTAAAATAAGGCTAACAATGACACCGATTTTGCTTAACATGATCAAAATTTAACTGCCAACGAAAGCTAATAAATAACAAATATGAGGGGGCGATAAAGAAGAAAGATTTACATACATACCACTCAATTCTTAAGTATTTACATATCTAACACCTAAACTTCAATTTTTACATGCATGCCACCTTTCCCCATGCATGAAAAGGTGTGATTCACCTTTCAGAAGTTAGAATGGTGGGTATTTTTGATCTGATATGAAAGATTTGGGTGGTATAAATGTAAAAATTAAAGTTTAGATTTTATGTAAATGCTAGAACACACCTTGTTTTAGAAAGTGAACGAATTCCATAATCTGTCCACAAGATCGAACGGTTGGAAATAAGATCTAGCTGTCTTCCAAGAATCCAGGATTCCTGACCAATCAAAATAAATGTGAATAAGCAAGGGCTCACAGTTGGAAGAGAAAATTAATTTAGAATCTTACAGGTGGAATGATGTTCATTATAAAAGGGAAAAGGCTGATGTAGCCAATATGTGGAACTAATTGTAAATAGGATTTTTCTAATGTTTCTCGAAAAAGTTCTCGTTTCGCGCTGTTGCCGACGTTCACTTCGTGCCAGCGCAGGCGAACCTAGAAAATTATGAAGAAACCAATGAGCTCGAAGCGCACAATATTGAAATAGGAAGACGAAAAAAGCAAGAGTTGGTGCAAAATTTTAAATCATAAGAGGATAAATAATAAGAACTAAACATATGCATATAGTAGGAATCACTTTTTTTTAAAAAATTTGGCTTTTAAAAAAAAATATTTTCTTATAGTATAATAATAATATTATTATTATTATAGTTAAATTGAGTAATTTTTAAAAACACTAAAAACATTTACAGTTAGTCCTCGCATACCTTCTCCGTATGATTTCCATAATCAAAATAAGCTCCAGAAGCTTCATCCAAATGCAGCTGCCAAATAAACAAAGGAAGATTTACTTGCATACTATTCAGTTCTTATGTATTTACTTATCCAAAACGTAAAGTTTTTTACATATATACCACCTTATGTGATATGAGAGATTTCGGCGGTATAAATATAAAAAATGAAAGTTCAGGTGTTGGATATGTAAGTACATAAGAAATGGGCGGTATGTATGTAAATGCCGCATAAACAAAACAGTCAACTTCGTTTGTAAAAATGAAGGCAGATTTCCCTTGCTCGGACAGACTTTATATAAACATACACTGAAAAGTATACTTAAAAATGCAACCATTTGATCAACTGATAAACATGGTTTGTCAAACAAAACGGCATGCCAAAACAATAATGGGGGAGAAATAATATTCAAAAAAATTTTTGGCCAAAATAAGTGATTGGTGTCAGGATGATGCATGTGTAGCAGCAAGATATTAAGACAGTTTTTGGGCACTTATATGATGTTTCCTATGATTTATAAGCATACTGAAAATGATATATTTTAGGACACTTTTCTGCATAATTAAATGGCATTTTTGCTGTATTACACAATAGAACTCATAAAGAAGATCAATGAAATTACAAAATTGGCCAAAAAAAAAAAATGTCAAGGTTAATAAAAAAGCTGGAGGCAATGGATTACTAAAGCTTGCCCCACATTTATATACTAGAATGCAAATAAATAGAGTAAACGATTGAGTGAATAATGGAGGCCTTGAGAAAATCTACATTTATACCACTCAATTCTTATGTATTTACATATTTAACTGTGGAAATATGAGAATGTTTGATTCTTTGCATATTTACCTCTCATTTAGGCAGACCACCACCTCCAATCCTGGGGGATTTGATTTGGGTATCTTAGGAAACCTTTGATTGGTTAATTCCCTTCCTCTTTTATGTTTTTTTATTTTTTATTTAGAATTATTATATAATTTTTCTCTTAAAAATATACCCCCCCCCCCCCCCCCCCACACACACACACACATTAAACGCCCAAGGGCTAATTATATATATATATTCTCCTACATCAAACCCTAGCCACCTGACTTCCTTTCCCTGTGGCGGAACACTTCCCTCCAGCTGCACCCTGCTACGGGCTTCCTGGATTCTACCTGCAGGCTTCCCGAATCTCTCCCTACTACAGGTTGAAGGCCATCTTTCTTGGCGCAGGCCTCTCCTCCGACTGAATCTTCCTTCAGCAGTACCAAAAGCAGCGGTAGCCAGCAAAACCTGCTAATTTTTGTTCTTCCTTTCCTGCAGCAACCTTTAATTTAACTGCAGAAATTGCAGCAACTTCAACTCTCACCACTGCAGTCAACTAGGAGCAGCCCAAACACAGTTAGAGATAATGACAAAGTACAGAATGAAGACGTAAGTTCTACCCCAGAGATGAAGTCTGAGTTAGAGACCAGGGGTATTGCCCAGACAACTCCTGAACTCTTTAACTTTATTACGTCATAAAGTCAATGATCATAACTACCGTTTATGGTCCAAATCCGTGCTTAATACATTTTTGATAACGGGAAAGAGGAACATCTTAGGAGAGAGAGCATCATTTCTGAAATCACTGACCTAAACTACAACACATGGAAGAATTGAGACCATCTGGTTGCCTTGGTTAGACAACTCAATGGTTACTGAAGTGGGAGAGAGTTTGTTGCTATACAAAACTACCAAAGAAATTTGGAAGGCTGCAAGAGAAACATATTCCAACACCGAAAACACGATAGAGTTTGAGATCGAAACCAAGCTTCATGACCTCCTACAAGGAGAGCTGAGTGTCACCCAATATTTCAACATTTTGTCAAAGTACTGCCTACAATTGGATATGTTTGAGACACATGTGTGGAAATGCCCACAAAATGCTATGACATTTAAATCCATCACTGAGAAGGACCATCAAATTCCTAGTAGGACTAACTCAAGAATTGGATAAGGTGTGATGGAGGATCATGGGAACAAAGCCTCTTCAAGCTCCATGTGAATCATTTTCTGAAGTTGGGAAAGAAGAGAGCAAGAAGAAGCTGATGCTGATCGGAAATGGGGGCTCACCAAGCATTGAAAGTTCAGCTATGTACACCATAATTCTTCCCATGACTCAAAGGTCAAGAAAAACCATCCCACATGTGATTATTGCAAAAAGATTGAGCATATCAAATACAAATATTGGAAACTCTATGTAAAGTCTGCTGGACTGGAAACCTGGGCAGGCATGAAGGATCAAGAGAAAAAGGCAAACGCTGCTACCACAATCGAAGAATCGAATGAACTATTCACCAAGAAACAACTTGAAGTACCGAAGAAACTCCAAAGGTAATTCAAAGCAACACACGAACCTCGTGACATACCGAGGTAATATATCCTTCTACCATCTTGCAAGTAATGTGAGATTCAAAATCAAGATTAAAAATGCAGAAGCCTCTAATCATATGACTGGATACATCAATGTTCTAATTAACTATCATGGGGCTTCTACATTAGATCGATAAGACTTGCAGATGAATCACACTCAAATACTGTTGGGAAAGGAGATTTGGAGCTCTCTCAAGATATTACTCTTTCCTTTATCTTATATGTTTCATCATTTGAACTACAATTTGAATTCAATTAATAAACTTATGATATAAAATATACAACTAAATTTTTTGCAAGCTTTTGTGAATTTCAGGTGATGGGAAGGTGCTAAAATGCACTGCAACTTGTACCTACTCAAGAAAAGTCTCTCTAAACACGCAGCTAATCTTACATTCATGTCCCTCAAATTTATGAGTTTGTTGAGCCTATGTGTGTTGAAAAATAAGTCATGTTATGACATTGTCGTCTATGTCATCCTAGTTTCAATTATGTAGCTAAGTCGTATCCATCTTTGTTTCTCAATAAAAAATATAGTTTTTATCAATGTTAAACTTGTCATCATGTAAAACATACTAGAAATAGTTATATCACATGACTCAGTATAAACTCTCACATCCTTTTTCCTTTATCCACGGTAATATTTGGGGACCTTCAAATTTGAAAACCTAAGTAGGTCGGGAGGGTTTCTCATTTATTAACGATCATATTAGAACTACTTGGGCATTCTTGATGAAAAAAAATCCGAAACAACAAAAATCTTTCAAACCTTCCATGAGATGATACAAACTCAATTACAATGCAAAATTAAATTCTCAAAATTGATAATACAATAAAATGTTTCAACTCCATTCTTGGGTCCTATATTTTGAAAAAAAAAATAGAATCATCCATGTGAGTTCATGTATTGATACCCCCACAAAAATGAGATAGCAGAGAGAAAGAACAAACATTTACTTGAGGTACCCTGCTCAAGTATGATTTTTATCAAGTTCCAAAATATTTTTGGAGGGTACACAAATCATACTATCCCAAATATGATATTTAGGGGTAGAGTGCAAATGAACATCACTTTTGGGTCTACTTAATGACACATACATAGTAAACCCACCTACTCCTCTTCCCCAAAGTCCACAACAAAGAACTTTGAGTGTACACTGGGAGGATGAAAAACTAAACAGATGGAAGAAAACTTGCAAAAACAGAACTGTTCCAACCAAAGCCCGAGTACACATTTACATAAATTTTTAGTGAAGAGTCAAGTACTCATGAGTTATCGCCTTCTCTTCAGGTGATGATGATAACAAAAGTTGCACTAGATATCCAATTCATGAGTATGTAGCATATGTAGAGTTATTCTCAGTCTACAAAACATTTATATCTAATATTGATAATGCGTAGATTCCTAAATCCATTCATAAAGCTCTTGAAAATTTAGAATAGAGAAAATCAGTGGAAGAGGAGATTCGAGCACTAAAGCATAATGACACAAACTCTTACTAAACTTTCTCAAGATAAGAAGCCACTTGGAAGCAAATGAATGCTCAGAATAAAATGCAAAGTTGATGAGAATGCTGAGAGATTCAAAGCCAAACTTGTTGCTAAGGCTTCAAGCATGCCTATAAAATCGGCTACCGGGAAAGCTTCACATATGTTGTCAAACTAAATACCATCAGAGTTCTTCTTTCAATAGCAGTTTAAAAAAATGAAGACTGCATCAATTTGGCATAAAAAAAATCTTCCTGAATGGGAATCTGGAGGAAGAGATACACATGAAGATAACACGGAGCTTGAGAATGATTCCAACAAATACATTGTATGAAAACTTAAAAAATCTCTCTATAAGCTTAAACAATCACCAAGGGGAGTAGTTTGAAATGTTTGTTAAAACTATTAAATCCAATAAATATTCTCAAAGCAAGCTAATCACACATTGTTTATAAAAAACACTCAGAGAGATAAGATTGATACACTGTTCATATATGTAGATGATATAATTTTTACTAGTGATAATGAAGGAGAAATTCTTAAAATAAAAGAAGTGTTGGCCGCTGAATTTGAAATCAAAGACCTCGAAAACATGAGATTTTTTCTAGGCATGAAGGTAGCAAAGTCCAAAAAAAGAATTGTTATATCGCAGAGAAAATACATCATAGATTTGTTAAAGGAAACATAGATGATTGGATGCAAACTTACTGATACTCTAATGGAACCCAATCAAAGGTCTAACAGGAAAGAAGAAAGTATATCTGTGAATGAGGAAAGATACTAAAGATTAATAGAAAAACTCTTCCATCTGTAACATAATATGAGAGATGTTGCATACTATGTCAGTATTGTGAGCCAAAATAAGAACAATCCTAATGAAAAACATTTGAAGATGGTTTAGATGATTCTAAGGTTTCTCAATAAGTCTCGTGGTTATAAATTAATTTTTGAGAAAATTATAATAGAGAAGTGAAAATCTACACTGATTCTAGTTGGGTATGAGAGCTCACTAATAGAAGGTCTACTACAAGTTATTGCTTATATGTATGGGGAAATTTGATTATATATAGGAGAAGAAAATTATTGTTTCGAGAACCAGCTCATAATTAGAGTATAGGAGACTTACCAAAGAGATCTGTGAATGGATTTGGATATTAAGAGAGCTAAGATGTTCTTCCAATAGGCCTTTACAAATATTCTGCGACACTCAAGTAGTTATCAATATTGCCAAGAATCATGTGCATTATGACAGGACCAAACATATTGAAGTTGATAGGCACATCATCTCTAAAAAAGTCAATGGGAGAATTATACAACTAAGATACATCCTGACACAAAAACAAGTTGTTGATATCTTCAACAAAGCTCTTCATTTCAGCACATTCTCATAACTCAATATTGTGCTCAGTCACTACAGCATCAATAACTCAGCTTGAGAGGGAGTGTGAAAATCTGAGAAGATTTGATTCTTTTAATATTTACCTCACTCATGTGGGCCGGCCACCACCTCGAAATCTTGGAGGATTTGATTATGATATCTTAGAGAAACCTTTAATTGATTTATTCCCTTCCTGTTTTAAGTTTTTCTATTTTTTTATTCAGAATTATTTCTTTTCTAATTTAGGTCATATATGTTTGGTAAGTTTGTAAATAAGGAGGAGTTGATTTCCCTATATATATGAACCTTATTTGTGAATAATGAATAAATGAATTTTCCTCCCCAAGTAAATTCAACATTAACACCTAAACTTCAATATTGATGTACATACCATACCACCTTAACTATGTATGAAAGGTGTACTTTACTTTTTAAAAGTTAAAATGGTGGTATTTTTTATTTTTTATGTGATATGTAAGAAGATATGTAAGAATTGGGTGGTATGAATGTAAAAAGTAAAGTTTAGGTGTTAGGTATTTAAATATATAGGAATTATGTGGTACGTATGTAAATGCCCCTAGAAAAAAGTGCAGAAGATGGAATCATAAGAATACAAAACTGAGGCAAGTTTTAGTATGTTTCTTGCGCATACCTGATTAAGAACTTCAAATTTCACGAGTTTTTTAGCTGTTAGATTATAGTCCTGCAAATTTTCAAAGCAAAGACAAGTTAGTTAAACTAAAAAAAAGTAAAATATATACGTTTCAGATTACAATAATTCAGATAATTGGAATACTTTATATTATTATGCTTGAAATATAATGTACCTTAGCAGAGGAATTTTGCATTCCTATTATCTCTGCAATTGAATGCAAGCAATCTGAAGCAAGATGCATCCAACACCATAGGTCTAAGTGGCGCTCATCCTCACTTGGGTGGGACGCACGAGGGTAGTCATCCAGACCAGACGACAAAGTCTAGCGGACGCCATAAAGATAAATACAAACAAAAATATGGATAATTTGTGCAAACAATTGATAGAATTGGATAGAAAAATTGATTCTGGTTGTAAAATTCTGAAAATCAATATGAAAAAATAAAGCTTCAAACTAAATTAAACCAAATAAAATTTATTTTGGTTTCAATTTGGAAGAATCTTAACAATGAACCTGACAATTAAGTAAAACCATAAGCATAACTAGATTAGTTATAAATAATAAATATGAATATCAGAGATTTAGGGATGACCTTTGGGTTCAGCTCCATAGTAGTTGCATTATCCCTTCCATGCCAATAGAAAGCGGTCGCATTCTTCGCTGGAAGTCAAGAAAAGATAAAATGTTACACATATAAAATGTATTACATACCACTCAATTCCTATGTATTACATATCTAACACCACAAGCTTATTTTTTATATTTATACCAACCAAATTATATGATGTCATATACAAAATGCCACTATTTTTACCTTTTAAAAGCGAAATATACCTTTCATGCATAGGAGAGGTGGAATATATGTCAAAATTGGAAGTTCAGGTTTTAGATATGTAAATATATAGGAATTAAGCGGTCTGTAAGTAAATATTACAATAATATTTAGAAATTTACAAGAGCCATTCAATCTTTTTTATAATGCAAGATTGATGAAAAACATTGGAAAGAATTGACTTGGTTTCATGATAACAAGTAATTTCAGTTATAAAATAACTTAATGCAAACAAAAATTTCAAAAGATTTTCCAGTTACAGGAGGGATAGATAAAAAATAGATAGTTTACTTACCAGACTGTGTATTATTGAACCATTGAAACCATGCTGCAAGACGAATATATGCTCTGCCAAAGAAGCTAGAAATCCTATCCATATCTTCATCAGAAAACTTGCTTGACTTCGAATTGCTTAATAAATCTGAATAAAATTATCATAATCAAATTAAGCCCTTCATTTAATCTCAATTTGATATAACTTACTCCTAATATTATAAAGGTACTTACATGTATGCTACTCAATTCCTATGAATTTACATATCTAACATCTAAATTTTAAAATTTTACATGCCATTGTATCTATGCATGAAAAAAAGTATTTCACATTTTAAAAGTTAAAATGATAGTATTTTTTCATATGATATAAAAGATCTGTAAAGGTAAAGTTTAGGTGTTAGATATGTAAATACATTGGAATTGGGTGGTATATACATAAATGCCCCATTACAGAACACTGCATATGAAATTTAGCATTCAGGACCATTGAGTTTGGATTACGAAAACATGCATCGCATGTGTCAGAAGAAAGCCAAATAAAAATAAATAAATATAAATCAAAGTTAAAAATGAATGCGAGAGCCTTTATCTATAACACTTCTTCTATGCAAACATGGCTGCCTACAAATTTATCCAGAGGATTGGCCAAGAAAATTTAAAAGAAAACAAATAAAAATCATTTAATCCAAGCTTATTGCAATACTCATTAGCCACGTAAAATAAGTAAATTTGGTGAAGCTATAAAGAACAAAACTCAGTATTTCATCGTCTATTCATTATCACTTTATTGCTTCCATTAAATATGCATTTGCATTAATATATCAAAAAGGTACAAAAATTATGCATGCATGCATCTATGATGTACAAAAAAGAAATGTCATCTACAAGTATAGTAAAAAGCTCCCTATCCTCCTCAACATGCATTAAAACAAAAGACCCACTAAGAGTGTGCTTCGCACAAAATAAGCAGTTCTATTACAAGCATGGGATATGTCAAAAAATAAAACTTTTCGAAATTTAAAGAGGAAAGCAAAGTCTAAAGTTTCTTGTGGGCAACGTTGCCAAAACTCCTTCATTGTCGATCTCATGAACTGCATAATGCTGGCATCATCACGTTCTAAAATTATGCCTTTACATTCAAACATCCATGATTCAAATATGCTGTGAAAAAACTGAATTGCAACAATTACACTTTCAATCATGCAAAAAAAATTATCAAGCGCGCCCACTAACAGAACATCTGACAAGATACAATGAAAACTATGTACCTATATGTTTAAATGCACTTTTTTTATTTTTTTGGCTTCCACTTGCTCGTAATATTTTAAAAGTGTACCAAACCTACAAAGTATAACCCATTATAAATTGTTGTATGCAAATATGAATTTAGCAAAGTATAGCAAAAGAATGTGCTTATAACATGAACAAGGTTTTGTTAAAGCACACTTCTCTTGTTTAATTCTTCCAACCATCAATCATTACTAAAGCAAGGAAATTCACCTTCAAAAATCTAAAAACAGATAAAAAATATGTCAAGTAAGAAATATTTTGAAGGGATAATTACATATAGCACTACAAACATTGCTATTTACAAATCTAGCACCCAGACGATAATTTTGAATTACTGAACTGATGTATTTACATGTGCCACGATCAAACCATTGAGAATTTGATAAAAATAAAAAAAATGGTTTGGGAATTTTTAATGAAATTTCATATTTAAGTAAGAATTTGAAAAAAGGATGAAAGAGGGGGCTAAATTTGTAAATAGCAATTTTTTGAGTGCTATGTATGTAATTGCTTCTATTTTAAAATCCAATTTTTTTATCTTAAATTCGACAATATGAACTAATTCATAACTCTTTTTTTCCCAAAGCTTCTACACCAGACATTAACCGCAAAAAAAAAAAAAAAACTAAATTTCTCTTTAAAATATTAATATATCTGACGCGGGGCTACTATAGCATGTCGGACAGGGTGCGACAAGAAGCAAGCCAGTCCAACCTTTTCACTAGATCAGACTGATCTGGTTTATTTATCCCGCACCCATCTCACCCTCCTGTGCTCGAATCATTCACTCCTTCCCCGCCCCTGTGCACTAATGTCACGCACTCTAAGTCCTCCAGACTCCCTCAAGTAGTATAGACAAGCCACGCACCCATCCAGGCTACCGCACTGCCCTCCTACACCTCCTCCCTCCACTGTCGTGTCTCCACTTCTCTTCTAGGTTGTCGCACCAGCCCTTTTAAGCCACATCATTCCTCTGTCACGCTTCCTAGTTTCCCCGACAAACCGCTACCCATTCAGGTTCGCTCTAGCACTCTGTCAAGTTGTTGTTGGGCCGCTTCTACACTATCTACTGTCAGCCCCTAGGTCTACCAACTCCATCGGCATTCGGCTAGTAGTCGTCAACTCCTCCTAGCCCCACTCCAATGGGTCTCCAACCGCCATCAGAGACCGTCACACTGGATTCACCGCATTCCACGATTGTTTCTATCTTGTGCTGCGCATATTTTTGCATTCTCAATTTCTTTTGCTGTTTATGTGTTTTTTCGTTTATTGTTTATGTGTTCTTTGTTTGTTGTTTATGCGTTAATATTTGTGAAGAGTCGTCACTGTACTTGTTTTTAAAATTCAGCAATAAAATTTGTCGGGTCTGAGTCGTGGTTTGGGTTGACTCTGGTATCATTTGTTATTAGATATAGCCCAACCCTGAGTTCCATAGCATCCACCCTCGCCAAAGCCACCCAAAATTTTTCTTCTTTCTCGTCTTTTTTCCACTTCCATTTTCCCCCCTTTTCTTGTCTTCTCCTTCTTCTATCTTTAGTCTTTTTCTTCGAAACACTTCTGATCATGTTGCCGTGTCGATATGCTCCGCACCCAATTTGGGAAGAAATACAAAGAATAGATTCGTTGCTTGAAACAACAGTTGGCCAAGATGGACGATGGAACTCAATGTGATATTACTCTTGACCGTGACATTGAGTCGAAAGAGGAGACCGCGACAACAATCTGAATTTATTTTACCATAAAGACGTCAGCAATGAGGAATATCGACCATGCCGCTTTAACATTCACTATCAACAAAGACCACGAGAGGAGCCCTCGTTCGGCGGCCACCAAGATTATAGAATCAAGACGGACTTGTCGAAGTTTGAAGGAAACATGAATCCCAACGACTTTATCAACTGGTTAAAAGCCGTCAAACGCATTTTCAAATACAAGGAGGCCCCCAAGAATAAATGGGTTAAACTTGCAGCTATCAAATTGAAGAAAAACGCCTCATTATGGTGGGGGAATCTGCAATGACAACACAAACGAGATGGTAGCGACAGATCACCCGGTGGGTAAAAATGAAGAAAGCGATGCAGAAGTACCTACTACACCACTAATGCCAAACCATGTTCCTCAGGTTCACAACCTACAACAGCAAGACCTTTTGGTCAAGGAATTCACAACAAAGTTCGACCATTACAAATGAAGTGAAAGTTACTCGAGCAAAAGGAGCACACGATCGCCCGCTATGTGGGGGGCTAAAAATCGCCATTAGCAAGGTCGTTCAACTACAACCTTATTGTTCGCTGAGTGATGTCCAGACCCTTGTATTAAAGGTACAACGACAAAAAAAGCGAGCTAGGCTCCCGTCATCCTTTCAACAACAGTCAACCTTCAAGCCACCCCCCACTTCCACGCCTACTGACAAAATCACTTCCGGTGCTGGCAAATTAACATCAGGAAACGAGAAAACCACTCTGAGCGACATTAAGCTAGAAAAGAGTAGTTCATTCGGGATTGTTCCCGCGCAAGTGTTTTAGGTGCACGATTATGGCCACCGCCAATTGTCCCGCTAGCTTAGTTGTCTCCTTAACTGAAGAAGGTGTCATCAAAGAATTAGAGGAACTTGAATCACAAGATAGTTCGAAAAAAACACTTCAACTTCCAGGAAACGAAGGTGAAATGTTGGTCATACAGAGAATCCTGCAATCCAAACTAGAAAGAGATCCCTCATGGCTTCGGCATAGCATCTTTGAACCGCGTGCACAGTAAAAGCAAAAATCTACAATTTGATCATCAACGATGTCTACACTCATTGTGCAAAAGTTGGGATTAGCCACGCAAAAAAAACTACGATCTTATTCTCTCAACTGAAAAAGAGGTAACGAGATACGTGTTTATCAGCAATGTTTAGTTTGGTGTGATGTGGTTCCAACGGACACTTGCCACATCCTGCAGGGTCGATTGTGGCAGTTCGACTGGAAAACGCAACACGACGTCTTCAAGAACAATACGCATTTAAGGATGGGAAGCGCATCAGACTATTGCCTCTCAAGAATGTGAAGGGCACCATCGACATAGAAGATTCCTTTGTTCCCCGAGCCACCTTGCTATACTCCGTTTGAGATCCACACATAGCTCTTGCTTTAGTCCTCCTAGAAGATAGCGACGAATGGAGGGAAATACCCACGTGCCTCTAACCACTCCTAAACGACTTCAAGGACGTCATGACTGACAGCCTTCCAGGTGGCTTACCACTACTAAGGGACATCCAACACGCCATCGATCTTATACCAGGATCAGTGTTACCAAATCACCCCGACTACCGATTGCGACCAACTTATGCAAGGAACTCCAATTTTAGGTGCAATATCTTGTCACGAGAGGAATAGTACGTGAAAGCACCAATCCATGTGTTTTCCTACCTTCATAGTACCCAAGAAAAAAAGTTCTTGGCGGATATGCATTGACAGTCGTCCCATTAACAAAATTTCAGTCAAATATCGTTTTCCCATACCTCGCCTAGACGATCTCTTAGATCAGTAGTACGACACCACTGTCTTCTCAAAAATTGACCCCTGGATTGGATATCATCAGATAAGAATGTGACCGCAAGACAAGTGAAAGACCGCTTTCAAGACACGAGATAATCTCTATGAATGGACAGTCATGCCTTTCAGCATGTTTAGCGTGCTCAGCACTTTCATGCCACTAATAAATCAAGTCTTTCGAGGCCATATTGGGAGATTCGTGGTGGTTTACTTCGAAGACATTTTCGTTTGTAGTAAATCCAAAAAGACCACTTGCAGCACCTTTGGGGGATATTCGAGGTCTTACAATCTGAGCAACTGTACACCCACCACAAGAAATATCACTTCTGCACAAATTAAGTATATTTTTTGGGCTACATTGTGTCAAGCATGAAGATACAAATGGAACCAAAAAAATTAAGGCAATTGTAAGATGGACCACACCACAATCTTTCACCGAGCTTCGACAATTTTTGGTGCTAGCCTCCTCCTACCGAAGATTTGTTCGCAACTTCAGCACTATCACTACTCCCCTCACAGAGCATTTGAAACGAAAATAATTCAAATAGAAAGTCACAACCCATACCAGCTTCAACACATTGAAGAAAAAGGGTGACTTAAGTCTCAATTCTTGTTGTATCTGAATTCAACCAACCATTTGAGGTTTAGTGTGATGCATCTGGCGTAGGCATTGGCGTTGTACTAAATCAAGGCGGTCACCCATTTGTCTACTTCAATGAAAAACTAAACGAGACTCAATAAAAATATTCCACCTACGACAAAGAATTTTATGTCATTGTTGGAGCTCTAGAACACTGTACTCATTACTTACTCACAACCGAGTTCACCATCTTCACGGATCATGAAGCTCTAAAATTTTTAAGTAGTTAGAATAAACTCAAAGGGCGTCGTGCTACCTAGATAGAAGTCTTAGCTTCCTTCCAGTTCGTACTCAATCTCACGTCGCAGCTCTTTCCATTCCTCCATCCAGTCACTCCTCCTAAGCCAAAGCGGCAAGCAACATCCCGCTTGCTCTCTCGTCCGAACCGAAGAACCCATCTCCTTTGCTCAAAGTATATCAGCAACCCCCCACACGAAGCTCTCTTCCCTCCGGCAACCTCTCTCTGCCACTCTCTTGTTTTCTCCCAAGGGCATCCCTCTTTCCTGGCACTCTCCCTCAAAGCTCGCCAACTCCCACGCCTACAGCTCTCCTTCTCTCATCCACTGCTACTATTCCTTTCTCAAAACCCATCTACTCCAACTCCTCTCCCTTTACCTCCACAGTGTTGCTTCGACAGATCATCACCTTACGGCCAAAAGCATCTCGTCAGAGAAGGAGTCCATATTGGAATTCTCCAACAGAATCATTAATGAAAGCTAGAAAAAGTGTTTTTTTGTAAATATAGAAGTGTGGGTGTGAAATATGTTAATAGGTAAGATTTAAGCACTATGTATGTAAAAACCCCTAAACTACTAAGATATAAATTAAAAGAAGCATACCATGCAGAACGAGAAATAATGTAGGTGGATTTCCATTTGAGGGATGTTGAGGAACAAATTCATGAGGAACCTTGCTACAATAACAATAAAATGAATTACACGGATTGTTTATGTGTCCTTAAGTGAAAAACATGTCATATGATGTGAGAGCATATTACCTTAAAGCTTCAGCACCTAAAATTTGCTCTCGAGGAATCCAACCATCAACATTTATCAAATCTAGCCAATGGCCAATTATATCCAAGCATATGTCAATATCCCAACGCCTTCAAATACCCACAACATATAATATCAATCACCAAAGATGAATGTCATGCATTGCCGATGTTTTAAAAAGGAAAAGTTCACATACACACAATTCTTATGTATTTGCATATCTATCACCAATGTGCATATATATAGGAAAATGTGTCAAAATTGTCCCCTAACACTTTGCATGGAGCCAAGTCCTAGAGTCTATAAAATTGCCAATTTAATTCCCATACTCGTTTAATGGGGACTAAAATAGTATATTTTGAGGACTATATCATGGGGACTAATTTGACACTTATATACATAACATTTAGTGTCATAATCACATCATCAAAACAGCAGCATGAGAAGTAGTATTCACTTAAAGAAAATTAATATTAGTGATATTTTTTATGTAATGTTAAAAGTTTGAGTGTTATAAAGTACATATTAAAGAATAAATGGTAGATATATAAATACATAAGAATTGTATGGTATGTATGTAAATTCCACTTTAAAATATTATCATAATAACAGAAAATTGGAAATTAGATCAATGCTAGAATACTAACCAAATAAGCAACTGATGGAAACCCTCATCCCATAGAAAACCTCTAGGAAAATACGAGCGGCTTGGAACAGCTGTATATAGTGCAGCCGGCCAGTAAGAAATGAATTTTTCCCCATCTTTTTGCTGGATGAGAAAATATAACATGAGGTCAAAAAAGCAGTAATTGTCATCTATAAAATAAAAAATTGTGAGCAGAAGGAAAATAAATGTATCAGGTAATGTGGTTTTTTTTTTCTTTTTTCTTTTTTTCCTTTTCTTAACAATGATATTGTGCTGCTAAATTCTACTAATATCAATGATAGCAAATCACTAGATGCATACAATTAAAAGTTGGCAGTTCGAAATAGACATGCTTTATCCATAAAAATTATTTGTTTTATAGCCCACATACATGACACCATCAATCTAAATTCTCAAAAATTTTAGGGCTTGTTTGGGATCAATTTTGTGTTTGTATTTTTGTTTTTGTTTTTATTTTTCCTTTTATTTTTAAATACATATTTGTTTTTAAAAAATATATATTTTTTATTTCTAAAAATAAATTAACATATTTTTTAAAACACTCAAAATAAATTTTAGTTATTAAGTATTTTTAAAAGCAATCATATCTTAATCATGTTTTGGTTAAAATCAAAACATAAACAAAACAACAGAAAAATCAAAAATCAAATTTAAACATAAATAATGGTCCCTTAGATTTGGCAGCTAGTTCGAAATGCGTGAACCCCCGACCTTCATAATTGGCTTAAAGAAGTGCCAGCTTGATCAGAGGTACTAAAATACCTAACACCATAAAACTTCTAAAAGAACAACTGGGATTTCTCCCTGCTTTGAAAAAAAAAAAGGAATTTCGTAAAATTTATTACCCTTTTTAGATAAAGAATGGTTTCCCTTCCCCATTAACCTAATATCTTTACCAAATGCAAGCCAATTCTGAATAAATGCACAACTCCTGCATAGATTCCTACTTTAATTACACAAGTTAGGGAATTTTGCAAACTTCTTCTCTTGAAAGAAGAAAGGTAATATTTTTAAAAAGTTTTCCAAATGGTAAGCCAATCCACCAAATCGAGAATTTTCAACTTTAAACATGTGGAAAGGCCATGAAAAACTGCCTCTTTAAGCGTGAAAAGTTATTGTATTCACTCAACAAAATGTCTTGAAGAAAGCCCATCAAAATGCCCCTAATAGTTCTCAATGTACCAGAAAAAGCTCGAAAATCAATAACTAAAAGGGAAATCTACATACATCGAACAAAATTCGTAGGTATTTACATATCTCACGCCAAAACTTTCATATTTACATATTGAAGCACGTTGGTGATTTAAACTTGTACATGAAAAGGTGTTTTTCACTTTTAAAAAGTAATATTAGTGCTATTTCTTTATGTGATATTAAAAATTTGAGTGCTACGAGTTAAATATGAAAGTTTATATGTGAAATATGTAAATACATAAGAATTATGTGGTATTTATGTGAATGCCCCTTGCATAAAACTAGGTAAGTTAGACTTACAATGAAAGAGGGGACATGTAATCCCACTCTCCAATAGACATAGAATTTACACGAAGGTAAGAAATTGCCATGTGGAGACTTAAAAGCATTCTCATAGTCAATTATCATGTGGATTTAATGTTTAAAATTGTGCAATTGGGTAGTGAGTCTTTTTTTATTCGTGAGGCGATGTGTAAACCTCAAGGCATTTTGATGGACAAGCCTCAAATTAAAAAAAAAATAACATAAATTAATAAATATTGTATAGACTATAAAATGTGAGATAAGAAATATAATATCAATATTTTATTTTATTAAGACATTACAAAGTAATATAGCAATGTTCTAAGTAAAAAGTGATAAATTGCGTCAAATTATAAGTAAAATGTTAATATCCTAACATCAAATTATGAAATAAGATGGGTTATACAAATATTAAACTACCAAAATAAGCAAAGATATTAAAATAAAATGTTAAAACATCAAAATATAATATTAAAATAAGTTCAACATTAATTTTTCTCTCTCATTCGTACTACCCTCACTTAAACAAGAAAATAACAAGTCATCAACTTTTAATTTTAGAGCCCTTATTACTCTAATCACCCAATTGATTTTCATTAGAATCACTGACAAAATGAATTATTTATCTTGTGTATTATCCTTAATCATATCTATATTCTCATTCCTGATTATTTTTAATCCCAGTTATTTTATATTTTTAATGAATAATCATCAATAAAAATATTAATTAAAATAATAAATATGTTTATAATTAGACTTTCAACTACCTAAGCCTTCAAAATTTGAGGCAACGTGTTCTTTGAGGCACACCTTAATCTAGTTGAGGCGTACCCTTAAGACAATGAGGCACGACTTTTATGTAGAATTTGTTGAGGTGCGTAATTTTAAATAAGGTGTGGATTATCTTTATTGATAGTAACAAAAGAAAGTCTCGACCCAATGCGTAAATGAGACAAGATAAAATGGTCACCATATTATTTTTGTGAGCGGGGGGTGGGGGGGGAGCCCTATCTAATATGTCTAATTTAGTCTCTCAACCTCTTAAATATTATCCAAAATAGTTCTTTGACTATTCAAATTTTATTAACAATAATCTATTTTGGATCATATTTGGATAAATTGAACATACTAAATAGTTGGAACTAAAACGGACAATAAAAATAAACAATAGATCATGTTGACCATTTTCTCATTCTTAAATATAGCATAAACTATAACATGTAGAATATATCTTCACAAATCAATATGCCAAAAGAACAAGCAATGTTCAATAAAAAAAAATACATTGAGAGTATAATAGACCTTGCAAGTGTGTAATTAATTCTGACTTACACTAAAGCCCTTGGGAAGGGCAATTTTCGATTGACCATAAAAGTAGCCAATTCCACCAAGTAGATTTGCAATTGCTGCCTTCCCGACAAATATTGTCTCTGAATCTACCTGAAACAATGCAATTGTTCAAAAAATATTTTTAAAATATAAATTATATAACAATGACCCGAAATAAAAATCATGTCGACAACCAATTGAAGGCAAGAATATCATACAATCCTCACAAAATAAGGCCACGCTATCCCCTTCTAATACTCTATTCCTATAAGCACATTATAGAATAGATCTTCATTATTCGAACTCATTCAAATATTGTGGGTCGGTTAAAAAGGGTTTACCAAAGCGGTAACTATGGAATAATGGTAATACCATTGCAAATAGCATGCAATTTAATTTGCAAATAGCATGCAAATTAAAAGTAATGATAAATTAGTAATAAGAACTAAGGAAATTTACATACCGAGCACACAATTCATATGTATTTACGTATCTCACATCTAAACTTCCATTTCACATAATAGCAGATTGGAGATTTAAACCTGTGAATGAAAAAGCATATTTGACTTTTAAAAAGTGGTAATACTTCTTTTTTTAATGGATAATAAAAATTTGAGTTCTATGTGTGTAAATATAAAATTGTAGGTGTGAGGTATGTAAATACATAAGAGTTGTTGAATTGTTGCTGTGTATGTAACTGCCCCTTAAGAACTATCATTGAACCATTGTTTCCCAATTCCACTTCACATGCGGGAGTCATCCACACATATACAAAGAAACATAAGACTTAAATATAATAAACCATCATAAAATTAACAAAAATAATACAGCGGTAAGATAAATGAACCCTTAGGGCAAGGGCAAAACAATCTTACCTTATCCATTGTGTTAAAACATCTATTATATTTGTCTTCAAAATATTTTTTTCTCTCATCTAGTTTATGTGTCAGCATGGTGCCTGAAAAATGTTGAAATAAAGTTAACAATTGCAAACAATGTCAAAATAGCATTTGGTTAAAAAATGGATTAATGCATTAATTGCTTTTATTTTTGAATTATTTAAGGCTTCAATTATTTTAACAAATTAAAAACCAAGCATGTAAATCAAGCACTACAAACTATTTTTAAATCAAAAGTGCCAATCGATTATTGAAAAATGACAATGTACTACTCGGTGAGAAATACTTGTAGGATTGCTCTTATCAGTTTGATGTTATCTTCCATGCCTTCATAATATTTCTATTTATTTAAAATTCCCCAATGGAACATCAAAAAGATTGATTATATTAGAATTAGCTTCTTTTGAAAAAGAGTCGAGGATTACAGTGGTCTTTATCTTAACAACTCAATAACTTCAGGGCATTTACGTACATACCACCCAATTCATAGGCATTTACATCTCTAACACCTAACTTTGCTTTTTTACATTTATACCATCCACATCTTTCGATTCACACCAAAAATATCACCATTTTAACTGTTGAAAGGTGAAATACATCTTCTCATGAATAGCTAAGGTGGTATGTATGCGAAAATTAAAATTTTGGTGTTTGATATGTAAATACAAAAGAATTAAGTGGAATGTATGTATAACTTCCAAACTATTTTCAGATCCAAAAATGAGGTGTTTGTATCAAAGAAAATTTTCTTTTATTTTCAGGTGTGCTCATAGCTATATCAACTTTCATCACCTCAAAGAGCATTTTCAGGTGCGCATTTTTTATCACTCCCCATTCCCCAAAATATATTGACCTAATATTTCCTAGAGCTTATTCTTACTCTCCCCCTTTTCTTCGTTTAAATTACTAAAAAGCTTTTCTCATATCACATCTCTAATCTATCCCTCTTAATACTGTCTAAAACAAGAACATAAAGTTTTGTCAATGGTAACACATCAATAGTTTCTAGGAACTGTCATCGGAAAAGAATGAAAGATTTACATAGATACTACTCAATTCCTATCTATTGCTATATCTAACACCTAAGCTTCAATTTTTACATACACAACACCTTACTTATGCATGAAAAGGTGAATTTCACTTTTTAAAAGTTAAAATAGTGGTATTTTGGTTGTGACATTAATGATTTGGTCGGTATAAATGTAAAAATCAAAATTTAGGAGTTAGATATGTAAACACAAAAGAATTGAGTGGTGCATATGTAAACGCCCCCTAAAAAAATAAAGCAATGTGTTGGCTGTTGCATTGCTTTAGTAAAGTAATATAGTCACTGTATCCATAACCAATGTGTGTGTGTGTGTGTGGTGTGTGTGTGTGTGTGATGTGTGTGTGTGTGAGAGAGAGAGAGAGAGTACCTGTAAGAGCATTTATACGATCATTTACCATTGAGCCCTTGGAATCAGTTCCAGATACAAAAGCTAAATCCAAAACTGAAGGGAGCTTCACAGAAAACTGATAACAAAAACCAACAAAAAAGTTTTATAGTAAAAAAATAGGATCATGGCAGGATTATTAAATAAAATAAGATTAAAAAAGAAAACTTACATACATAAACTCAATTCCTATGTATTTTACATATCTAACACTCAATTATCAATTTTTACATAAATGTCACCTTGCCTATTATTAGATTATCATGGCTATCCCTAAGCTGTTATTACTTATTATTTGATTTTATTCCCTGATTATGTTTTTCATGTTTTGCTTTATTTTCTTTCTTAGATATCTTTATTGCTTTCCATTATTATGCCCATGGTAATTGGGTTTAAACACCCCTCCTCTTATGAATAAAATTGTGCTACTCTATTCTAAATTTTTACATGGTATCTAAGCCAAAAATCCATCGGTCACTGGCCTTCTCTATCGCTTCCAACAGTCGACGTCTCATAGCAGGCGGTCTCCTTTGTTGGTTACAGCAGGATTGCAATCGCTAATTTTCTCTTCCAAAAGCTCTTGCGATTCCACCAGAGCCGATAGGTCACGCTAATTACTATGGCACTTCTACAGAAAGCTCCCGCAGTTCCACCAGAGCCGCAAGGTTTCGTTGTTTAGCTTCCATCATTCCAATAGCGTAAGATTCCGAAAGTCCTCTCTAGTTTTCCAACTATGTTTTTTTCTAGTTCTCTGCTTCGTGCTTGTGCAACTCCTATCTGTTCGGTTCCTTGCTACAACACCCACCTGCTGCTAAGCTTTTGCTAGTTCTCTACTGCTAAGTCCTTTTTCAGCCTTTGGCCAACCCTTCCCAAAAAAAACACTGCCATAGACCTTCTCTGCAAGCTTTGCCGCTCGCGGTCCCTTTTGGTCCTTCCCGCTGAGTTCAATTGCTTCCCAGATTTTCTGCAGTCTAGCTGTTAGATTTCCTGCATCTTTGCGGCATCTTTCCTGCAGCTTTCCTACAGTTATTTTTCATTTGGTGACTTACAAATCCATCAATTTCTCGGAATCCAAGCCAAATTTCTTTTGGCTCGATTAGAATTATCTTGAATCATGCTCAGCCCTCCCCATGCCACCTCAGACCGGCCACTCCACTTGTGTTATTGTCACAAACTGAACTACACTCGGAACAATTGTTGGAAACTTCGCAGTAAACCGGCATACAGATCTTTAGTCATATTCTCTTACTACCAAGGGCCTCGAGACAACGTCTGAATCTACCACGATTCAACTAACTCCTACCCGGAACATCCTGAAATCCTTTGAATCCCTGAGAAACCAGAGAGAGCAATTGATCAAGCTACTTGGAGCCCATCAAGTCACTACGGGTCCGTCAACCCCCCGCGCCCGACAAGATAGTCTTTCTATGGCTTTCACGGTTTATCCCACCCCTAGCCCATGAATTATTGATTCAGATGCTACGTATCATATGCAAAATGCTCACAAGTTTTCTCGACTTGGCATCCGTGTTCTGGAAAGGATATCGTTAGAATTGTCGATAACTCTTGTAATTCAATTACTGGTAAAGAGTCGTTGTACTAACAACCGATCTAACTCTGGAGACTGTTTTACATGTTCTTTGGTTGCAATGTAACTCGTTATCTGTCAGCAAGTTGACGAATGATATTGATTGTGTTGTTACTTTTTCTTCTTATGGTTGTGTTTTTTAGGATCGTCGTTCTAGGAAAATGATTGGAACTGTTAAGAGGGTAGCCAGACTCTACTACTTCCAAGAGAATAGCACGATGAGTGAGGACACACTTCTCAGGAGTTGTAGCTTATCACGAGTCATTGATTGTCCCATTATGTTGTTGCGTTACCGTTTTGGTCATCATAGTTTCTAATATTTAAAAAAAATTATACTCTTCAATGTTTTCTAATAAAAACATTTCTAATTTTATTTCTCAGACATATTAGTTAGCCAAACAACATCGGGTCCATTACCCAACCCAACACATTCCGCTCATTTCTCTCTCATTCACAATGACCTATGGGGACCCCTCTCACACTCCCAACTACAATAATAAACATTGGTTTCTAACTTTGTTTGATGATTACACTCGAATGATGAGGTTTTACATTTTTAGAGACAAATCAGAGGTTGTCGTCACCTTCAAAACTTCTACAACTTCTTTTTAACTCAATTCAAAACTCTTATTCAGGTTCTTTGGATCGACAATAGTGGTAAATAATAGAGAGAAAAAAATATCACCTCATCGACGTTGTTTGCTCCATTATATTTCAATCCAATGTCCCGAAATAATTTTGAAATGATGTCATTCTCGCTGTCACTTATCTCATAAATAAAGTTACATTTTAAATTCATAAATTTTGAACCCTCATAGCCATCCTGATGTAATGCTTCTCTGCCACGGGTCTTCTCCACCTTAGACACCAAGATTTTTGAGTGCACTACTTTTGTTTGGAACGCTGCACCCAATCAGAGTAAACTTGTTCTCAGATCCATAAAATATATCTTCTTTGAGTACTCCACCACTTAAAAGGGGTGTCGGTGTCTTGATCCTACCACTAACAAAATCTATGTGAGTGTTGATGTCTCCTTTTTTGAAAGTGTTACCTATTTTTCTAGCTCGGCCCCAATTGAGGGAGAGTTTGGGTTCTTAGACAATGTCTCTTCTCCTACTCCTATGGATGTTCCCCTTATTGTTCTTTCCACCGAGGAGTCTCCTATTCCAATGAGTGCACCATCCGATGAGTCCCTTGATTCATTGAGTGCACCATCTCCTCCTTCCACTATCCGTGTACACTCGTTGCACCCGTTCTAATGGTCCAACTCTGGAACCCGCTACATCCTTACAAGACCCTGACTCCACTCCAAGCGACATCATCAGCATGACCACTCCTCTATTCCCTCTATTTATGGCAAAATGCGTTTCTTTTCGCAGTTTATTGCTAACCTACAGAGCATTTACTACTGCCCTAACGAACCATCAGATCCCAACTACTATTGAGGTTTCTCTTGCTGATGTAACTTTGAAAACGGCGGTAATTGAGAAGATGAATGTCTTTCAGCAATACCATAAAAGGGATGTCATTGATTTTCCTTAGAGTAAGAAAGTTGTGGGAGTGTCGATTGATTTTCAGTACCAAGTTCAACTATTATAAATCCTTTGAAAGCAATAAGACAAGATTGGTCGCCAAAGGGTATTCACAGACCTATGAAGTTGACTCACTATTCGAGTCATGTTGTCATTATTGGCGAATATGGATTGACCTTTATTCCAATTAGATGTCAAGAAACCATTCTTGAATGGAGAGCGGGTAGAAGTGGTGCACATGTCTCTCCTTCCGGGTTTTGATTCAACTATCTACAGAGGATAAGTGTGCAGGCTATGAAAGTCCCTTTATGGGCTAAAGCAATCCCCAAAGATTTGGTTCGGCAAATTCACAAAGGTGGTTGTGAGCCATGATTTTACTTAGGCTAAATCATATCCCACCCTCTTCTTACAGCACTCATCCAATGGTCAGGTAGCTATCATTATTTCCTATGTTGACGATATTGTTTTTACATATAATGGTCTCCCAGCATTTGAGTTCTTAAAATACATTCTTGCTTCGTCCTTTGAGATAAAGGATTTGGGATCCCCTGGTACTTCTTAGGCATTGAAGTGGATCAGTACTCTCAAGGAATTTGTCTCTCAGCGCAAATATGTGATTGATCTCTTGACATATAACAAACTTCTTCTGTGCAAACTTGTTGATATTTGTATGGATCCTAATGAAAAATTATTTGACATTCTCAATGTTGTATCAGTTAAAAAACTCATTACCAATGTCATGTGGAAAAATTCATCTATCTAATTCATACTCGCCCTGATATATGTCACGCAGTTGGAATAGTGAGTTAATTTATGCATGACCCCTACTAGCACCTCCAAGCTGTCCACCGAATTCTCCATAATTTTAATGTTACACCGGGCTCAATTTTTTCCCGCCACACCTCTCGATCTATTGTTGTTTATACAGATGCTAATTAAACCAGATCAATTCATGATCGGCGTTCCACCTCAGGGTATTGCTCATTTGTATGGGGCAATCTTGTCTCGCGGAAAAGCAAGAAACAACCTATGGTTGCCCAAAGCAATGGTGAAGTTGAATTCTGATCCATGTCCTTAGGAATTTGTGAAGCTCTCTGGCTATGCATCATGTTCCGTGAACTTTGTATGTCAATATCTATCCCACTGCAACCATTATGTGATAATAAAGCCACAATTAGCATTGCTCATAACCCAGTTCAACATGATCGTATTAAATATGTGGAGAACGACATACACATCATTAAGGAAAAAATTGAGTCTAGAGAGATTTACATTCCATATGTGCCCTTCAGTGGTCAACTAAAGAACATCCTCACCAAGAATCTGCATCGCCCTTTATTCGATGACTTCAAGTTCAAGTTGAACATGACTGGCATCTATGTTTCAATTTGAGGGGGGCATTAGATTATAATGATTATCTTAAGCTGCCCTATTTTAAAAATTGTTTTTAGGGTATTTTTGAGGTGTGCTCCGGAGCGGGACATAAGGTCTTTCGCCACAAGCCCACGAGGGGTGCCTATACTCGCACGATTCTTATGCCCGGAAAGTATTGGAGCACAAAACTCGCTCATGAGGCATACACCCAGCCTCCCATTCAAATAAAAAGGGTTTGAAAATCCCTAATTCTAAGTATGTGTTCGATTTGAGTCACACGCAGTTATCCCCCCCCCCCCCCCCCCCCCCAGTTTGAACTCAACTTCTTCTTCCTTCGACTTCTCTTTCTTCTTCCTTCCTCTCCTCCGCACATTAGTTGTGCACTCGCATCCTTCTTCTTCTTCCTTCGATTTCGCATCGTCAGCGTCTTCCACTCCGATTGCACGCAGGGTCTCGCACGCAGGGCTGGATCAGGCTTGTCTACTTCATCTTCTCCGGCACTCGCCTGCATTGTCTCTCTTGCACTCTCGTCTGCATCATCTTCTCCCACTCTCTCCTGAGGTTTGCTATATTTTATGCATCCATATTTGTGATTATTGTTGCGTAGAAAGTAGAAACAATGAAATTATGTCTTTAATTTATCATTTTACTGTACCGCGGATTTTTTTTTGTTAATGTGACGATTGTGCTGTGCTTTTTATGATTTTACTATAGTTGCTAGAGTAATTTCATTGTAGCTACTACAATGAACCGTAAATATATTTTTTTTCTTTCAACATAAAGTTTTGCTGGAGATCATTCTAGCTAGAACAAATCACAATTTTTTTTTCATGTACGCAATTTGCTAGAGGTGGATTTGATCTTTTTTTTTTTTTTAATTTGTTAGGTTATGTTAGTTATTAAGTACTAGTAATGGAAAGTGAGGATTGTGTGGTCGGTAGTAGTCGCACAAGCATGCCCAATGAAAATTATTTCAGATGTCAATTTTGCAATCACATGTGCAGTGAAGCAAGAAACATGATGAAACAACATCTTGCAAGCACACACAAAAGCATTAAGTCATGTCCTAAAGCCCCGACTAAAGTTCAAGAGAGATGTAAGAAAGCATTAGAAGAAGATGCAGCAGTTAAAGCACAGTGTGACAGTGTCTTAAATGGTATTAGAAGCAGAGGCCACCTAGAGTTGGAGGTCCAATGGATTCTTTCACCACAACACAAGCAAGGAATTTTACTCTAAAGTCTAAGTGAAAAAAAAGGTGAAAGAAAAGGAGCATTTAGGGCAATTGGTAGATTATGTTGCTCGATTTGATTGGCATTTAGTGTTGTCAATGACTCATATTACATGTATATGTTTCAAGCGGTTGCTAATTTTGGATCTGGTTTTACTTCGCCTACAGTTCATAAATTCAGAACTTGGATACTCAAATATGAGCTTGCTACAATCAATAAGATGTTAAAGGAGCATAAAAAGAAAGAGTAAATATTGGTGCTCAATTATGTCAGAAATTGGACTGACGAAAAATATAGAATTTTAATTAATTTTCTTGTGAGCAGTTAAGCTAGGACTTTTTTTCTCAAATCCGTGGATGTTTCTAATGCTATGAAAAGTTGTTATTTACTATTCACTTATTTGGATGACGTGATTGAGGAAGTGGGAAAAAAAAAAGTGGTTCAAATTATAACAGATAATGGGTCAAACTATGTGAATAAACCACATATTTATTGGACACTATGTGCAACATACTGTATTGCCCTAATGTTAAAAGAAATTGGAAAATTCTAGATTCATGAGAGCACGCTAGCAAAAGCAAAACAAGTCATAAAATTCATTTATGAGCACACACGTGTTCTAGGCTTGATGAGATCTTTTACAAAGGAGATGGAATTTGTTCGTCGAGCCATTACATGTTTTGCTACGACATATTTGCTTAAAAGCATTTACAAGCAGAAGCAACCACATCAAGCAATGTTTTCCACATAAGCTTTTCGTTCTAGTCAATGGGCAAAGAAGACAGAATGTATAAAAGCTAGAGCTATTATTTTGTTTGATCGGGATTTTTTTGGGCTTCTTGTTTATTGTATTAAGAGTGTTGTGCCGCTTGTAAATGTTTTAAGAGATGTTGACTCAGAAAAAAGGCTAGTCATGGGTTATATTAATGAGCTAATGGATTCAGCAAAAAAAAATTATTTTTAATTGTGGGCATAATGAAAAGAAGTATGGACCTATTTGGGGGAAATTTGATGCAAGATGAGAATCCAACTTCATAAGCAACTACATGTAGCTGGTTATTATTTAAACCCTCAATTTCGCTTTTGAGAATAATTTTTCTAATGATAATGAGGTTAAAGAAGTGTTAAAATTGCTTGTATGGAAAGAATGATGAACTGTGAAGATCTGCTTAGAGCTGATATTCAACTGAACATGTATGATAACTTACGAGGATACTTTTGGAGTGGGTTTGCTATGGATTTAAGAAAGTTGAGATCTTCTGCTGATTAGTGGATGAGATTTTGTGGGAAAACACCCAAGCTAATGAATTTTGTGATTCGAGCTCTTAGCCTCAAATGCAATTCATCAGGTTGTGAAGGAAATTAGAGCATTTTTGAATAGGTAATAATTTTCTATTTCTTGAAATTTAAAATTATTACTATTTACTTTCATAATCACCTATTAAAAATAACATTTTTTTATCTTAGATTCATACTAAAAAGAAGAACAAGTTGAAGCACAAGAGGTTGAATGCTCTGGTATATATAAGATACAATACTAGATTAAGGGAGAGAAATATAAGAAGAAAACAAGACTTTGATCCAATACTGATAAATTATATAGAGTCTGATGGTGAGTGGATTGTTGAGAAAGAAGATATAGTGCTTCCACGGGAACCTTCTTGAATGGAGAAGAAGAACATGTCTTTAATGTTGATGAACAGAAATGTGCCAACACAAATGCGAATGAAGAATCACAAAATAATACAAAACAAAGAAATGACATTTTATAACATATTCTCACAAAAAAATGAAATGAATGAAAAAACAGGTTTCATATTTTCATTTAATTGATCTTTACATAAATATGCATTCTTAATTTCTTATAGAAAAAATATCCTAAATATTTGTGAATGTCATTTTGTTTGAGTTTGTAATTTAGGCAACAATGATAAAGAGAAAAAAATACGAATGCACCTGAAATTGAGCATGATGAAGACTTCAATGAAGTGGACAATGAATGCAAAGAATATGAAGAATTTAGTTGCAATTTGGGTACAACTATTGGTGAAGGAGAAAAAGATTTTGATGACGAGTTTGAAGAATGAATAACCTTCAAGGAACATATGATAAGAAATTTATTTTTTAGCTCAAACACATTTACTTATTTTTATATGTTTCTACTTTTTTTTTGGATTTTTACTAGAATGTTGAAGATTATAATCCTAGAAGACTTGTTTTGTTTATGTTTAATTTTTTATCATGCACAAATAGTTTATTTTTTTCCTTAATATTTATATTTCTTATTCTTTTTAATATTTTAGAGCTTACGCCCAACACCTTGGGGCTTACGCCTCGCCTCATAACAGCTAAAAAGCTCCGCCCAAAACCACCCACATCTTTTAAAACATTGCTAAGTTGTTATTACTTATTATTTGATTTTAATCTCTGATTATGTTTTTTCCACTTTTACTTTCATAACAGCTAAAACGCTCCGCCCAACGCACACGTCTTTTAAAACATTGCTAAGTCGTTATTACTTATTATTTGATTTTATTCTCTGATTATGTTTTTTTCGCTTTTGCTTTATTCTGTTTAGTTTTCCTTCCTAGTTATTTTATTGTCTTTATTGTTTTTCATTATTATGTCTATTATAATTGAGTTTAAATATCCCTCCTATGAATAAAATTATGTTGGTTTATTCCAAATTTCAACACCGATGTATGAAAAGATGTATTTCACAATTTAAAAATTAAAATATTGGTATTTTCTATGTGATATGAAAGATTTTAGAGGTATGAATATAAAAAGAAAATTTTAGGTGTTAGATATGTAAATACATAAGAATTGGGGGCCATATGCATGTAAATGCCCCAATTAAAAAAGTAAATACTAAAGATATAACAACAGTGCATGCTCATTGTACCCTATAAAAGATAGCTAAGAACCTGAGGGTTTCCAAGTTACTAATGAGAGAGAAAGAAAATAGCGGCATTTACATGCATATCACCCAATTTTTACGCATTTACATATCTAACACTTAAACTTCACTTGTTACATTTATACCACCCAAATCATTCTTATCATAAAAAATATGACTATTTTAACTTTTAAGAGGAGAATTACACAGCTAAGTTGTTTGTAAAAATTGAACTTCAGATGCTAGATATGTAAATTCATAGTAATTGAGTGGTGCGTATGTAAATTTTCTAAGAAAACAACAGTTTTACAGCTTTGCTTAATTTGGAGACACAGAAGTAGCAGTTATCACTTATAACTTAATTCTTAATTAAAAAAACATAGAACGATGGCATGACAAAAATATCCTTTTTCTTCCAATATTAAGACCTGAAAAACAATGATGTTGGGAGAATCTTCTAAAGCATCTGGTAGAGCAAGAAGCCCAGTACTTCTTGCCTGCAAAACAAATTGTATAAAAAATGAAAATCATGAGCAAAAACATTAAAGGCTATACATTGATAAATCTGGAATCTGTGGGGATTTTATTACAATTATCTCATCATACATTGAAAGCAAGAGTGCCCTGAACCAGCTCAGTCAAGTTGTGCAGGTGAAGAGTCTTGAATCCTGCATAATGGATTTCCATTTTTTCCTGAAAAAGCAAAAGAGATGGAAAAGAAATTTTTTGTAATTCCTGCAAAATGGTGAAATGATTAGTTTATTTTGCGGATTAAAAACTCTAACTTTCATAACAAATTGGATGGTATCAGACCAAAAAAACAACCAATATTAATGTATTTCAAATGATTTATTATAAAAAGATTTTTAGCGTGTGTTTGAGGCGGCGGTGCGGTGTCATACCGTTGTTTTTCATATTTGCCAAAACTGAGTTTTGACTGCGTTTTCAAAAAACTGCATTTTCCCATCACGGTTGGCTACTTGAGATTGTCGTTAGAAAACTGCGATATGACTTTTCCAAAAAAAAATTTTGTAACAGTCACCACAGTTTTTTGAACAATAGATTCTTCTTCAACCGCTTCACGGCTGTTTTTTCAAAATGTTATAGCTGCCCCAAACAGACATAAGTTTGATGAGAAAACATAGTTTTCAGCAGTAGCGTTTGAAAACGTGGGTAAAACACTGTTTTACCAAACATAAAAAAAATTGGTGTGGCACCGTACCGCTACCACACCACTACCCCAAACACAACCTTAGTTTCATTCTGAAAGATTTAATGCCCTTAAAACTACAGTTGACCACACTGTGAAATCCTTAAGAAAAAATGTGACGATTCCAAACCGATGCTTCACCATTTTTTATCATTATTAACCTTATCATCAATGCACAAATTTGCAAATCATGAACTATAAACTTTGATATTGGATGAAAACAACAAAAACAAATAAAACTACGTAAATAATAATTTATTAGCGTTCAACTAGAAATAATACCTAAAATCAATTGAAGATACAAAGAAATCCCTAGACCCTCTTTGTATAGTAACAAAGTCCATTTAGATTTACAATAAAAAAACTAGAAAACCTTTGAATTCCTACAAGTTTTTCTCTACTTCACAAAAAACATCTCTAATGCCAACTATTAGCAGCAGAAAAGATTACATCTCCAATAATGATTTTACAAATACAATTAGTACGAAAGTTTGAGAATTATAATGATCTGTTAGATATAAATAAAAAAAAAATTCAATAGTATCAATTGAAATTAATGATATCAAGTCAAATCAAATACATAAAAAATTGGGCTAACACAACAATTTTTGGGGGGATTTCTATTATATAAACATTTGTGCCAAAGCATATGAATTTATACTGCACCATCTTTCTTATTTAAAATTCTTGTAGGAGAAAAGAGTGAATACAAACCATTATCCTTCCGCATAATTTAAATGTTGCATATCTTCTAGCTCACATCAACAATAAAATTATAAAATCATAATTAACATTTAGTTTTCTTATATTTAACATTAGGCAACTCACTGTCGCGGGTGTCTGGACAATTGGACCGAACAGGTTCAAGACTAGGGAGGCCGGACAGTTCTCTCAAGTGGGAATGTCACCTCTTTCAAGAAGGGAGGGGGAAGGGGGGAAAGGAACTCCTAGTTATTCTTGGACTATTTATTTGTTTTCCTTGGTGTCTGCGGTTAGATTTTTTATCGTGCTTGTTCTAAAACAGCCGTGATGTCTTATTATTCCAGGGCTACATCAAAGAGTTCTGACTGGTGTTTCGGCTTTATCTTGATCATGAAGTAGTGTGTACCCTTCCTATACCATTCCCCATCCCTACTCCGCACCGGTTTCCTTCCCCTTGCTGCTCCACCTTTGTTGTCATCCTCCAAAAAACAATAGAATTATTGTTTTTCGCCCTCCCCCTTTACCCAACCCAAACCACCCCCCGCTCCCCACCCCTGCGCGAAACAATACCCGTCGTTTGCTTCCCCCTCCTCATTGTTGTCGTTCCCTAAATTCGTCTCTAACTTGTTGCTCCTGCTTACCAATTGCCTTTTCTACCACGCCACGACCTTCAAGGCCCCCTAGTTGACACCTCTTCCACCCTAGTGTCGGTCGTTTTAATTCTGAAAAGAATGATTTTTGTAAAATATGAAAATAGTTTTGATGTAAATATTATTTTTTGAAAGTAACATTTTAATTTTAAAAATAGATGAGACCAAACGAGTCTCACATATTAAATAGTTTAAATGGTTGAGTGCGATACCACAAGTAATACACTATCCTGAAGGATAAGCATATCACTTAACAGTAGCCTCAACCACCTAAACTAAGAAGTTTGTGACATCCGTTTGTCTGCAAAAAAACTTTTATGTATGACCATGTATGACCGGCAAGTTCTGTATGACCGGCAAGTTCTCTTACCTAATATAAGAATTAGATAAGGTTTATTTTACCTGGGTTTCAAGTTCCCTGTAGAGGCAAGCCCTTATAGTTGATTACATATTAAATGATCGGGGTCACTTAAGAAAACTCTCGATTAAGATCAGCGATTTTACTTTCCAGATTTCAAAGTTTAGGTTTTTAAGATTGTACACGGGAAAATCAAACGGGAGTGGCTCAAATAGTAAAAGTTATTTAAGGAATCCAAAAGGAGCGAGAGTAAGGGATATCACATATCCAGGAAGAACCCTGGTGACCTCCCAACTATCCTATTGTTTGGCTTTATGTCTTTGAAATAATGTTATTTAATGTTTAATCCTGCAATTTCTTTTAGGATTTAGGACTTACATTCGCACGCTATCTGATTATGCAAATGACCTAAAAAGATATGAGGATTTACACCGTACCGTATAGTAACCTCGGAATCCTAAAGTGTCAGGACTTATAATTGCACAATAGGGTTATGCAAAAGTCTAAATATGACATGTGAAGATTTACGCTGCACTAGGTAAACCACCTTGAAATCCTATGAGTTGTTATTTAAACTAAGAAAAGTGATTAGTAATGTGAATTTGTTTTGACGTTGCTTTTCTGAGTGTCCTCGCCGTGCTGCCCACGGTGTTCGCTTCAAGACCCTCATCATAGCACCTTCAGGTTTGATATTTATTGTTGAGTTTTTCCTACACTAAGGTATAGTGTGTAACAAAACAATAAAACATGTAGTATAACAAGAAAAAAATAGTATAATGTGCGGCATAGAAGAGAAAGAACAGTACAGTATGATGTGAAGTAAAATGTTGTAATGTAAATCAAATATGTATATCTGCGAGGCCTGTTGTTCCTTTAAGCGAGCTAGTATACACTGTATAAACAAAAGAAACAGTCTGAAAAAACTCGAGAAAATCGTCAAATGACCCACGACAGAAAATTCGAGAAAATCGTCAAATGACAATTCCAAGAAAATTATCAAAATTACGGGAAGACCCCGAAAAAAGGACCACGAGTGCTTTGCCAAAAATTTTAATAAAACATACGAAAAATCCGAAAAGAAAGGGCCGCAAGCACTCGGGTCAGGGCTAGGCTCAGATATTATATATTTGTACTCGAGGGACGTCGAAGGCTACTATCGGTCACCCGGATGTATAGAGTCTGCCACTCAACTAGAAGGGTGTCCTACTAAACATAACTTAGAAGAGTACTCCTTAGTCCGACATCGGTAATCAACAAGTAGACAACCAAAATGTAACTGTTGACCTCATTTTTAGTGAGGTCTTAGCCTCCTAATCTTAGAACCTAGGATCTAGCCTTAGGAGTTCCTGGTTGACCATCCTAGCGGACTAGTAACGGAGCCCACCTCCCATAGAACTTCAAACCGCTTCTTTACTCATTTTTGTGAAAACTCGCACGAGTGGTCCCAAGCACTCAATTTCTAGTTGCAAGGGCTAAGGACCAACATGCAGAGGGTCTGAAAATGAGTTCCTATAGGATCGAACGACCTTAGGTTAACCCTCGGTGACTCGACAACGCACTTGTTGCATCACGCGCAATTTTGGCTTAAATTGACTCGCCCGCCGGCAAACTCGTCCGGACGACCCCGGATGACGAAACGGACTGCGCCGACGCGTCCGGAACGTCGATTTTAGCTAGAAATGACACCCATATTGCTGTGGTTCCACACTCGCGCGAACCGCACGGAAATCGATGCATTTTTAGGTGCGCAGGTCAAGCTCAACCCAGGTCCGGCTCGGGTTTGATTCAGGCTGGACTTGGGCTGAACACGGGTTAGGCACCAGCTCACCTGATTTTGAAATTCAAATTTCAAAATTTGAATGGATTATTTATTTCTGTCTTAATTAAGATTATTTCAGGTGTTAAGGCATTCCATTTAATCCTCCCCTCCATTTGGAAATCATTTATTTTCTGCCCCTGCATTTGGAAATTGTATTATTTGGTTCCAAAAATAACGGCTCCCGCTCCGATTCTAAAAGAGAGGAGCGTCTGCTTCCTCTCGGATTGGAATTTTTCGCTTCTTCCGAGCTCTCCTTTCCCCGTCGCTCCCACTCCGCTTTCCGTTTCTTGTCGCATTTCCAGCTGTTGCTCGATCTCGCTCGAGAGAGACCCCCGCCTCCCGTCTCCCGCATCGACAGAACCTGCTCGCTCGTCTCCCGCCACTGCTCGACCCCGATCTCCCGCATCGACGAAGCTTGCTCGCTCGTCTCCCGCCACCGCACAACTCCGGTCTCCCGCACCTGCGACTATCTCCCTGGCGCGACTCCTCTGCGCCGAGGAACCATACCCGAAATCTTCGCCTTGCGCCTAGAAACCCTCGCCCCGCTCCTTCTCTGAGACGAAGAGCCGTCGCTCGTTTCCCCTTCCCCGATCGAACAACTTCGGTTCGCCTCCGTCGCCTCTCGACCGCGCCGAAATCGTTGGCCCTCCTCTGCACGAAGCCACTCAGCCTTCCTGCATACGCCTGACTCGTCTTCCCCCTTGCTCTTGACAGAACATCTTCGTTCTCCTGTGTTGATCGTCTGTCGCACTTCGACGCAGGTATGAACTCGCTGATCTTACCTTCCACCTCGATTATCTCTTTCAGTTCACCACAAATTTTTATCAAAGTATTTGATTCTAACAATTGAAACTTTCTGAGCTTATTGCATGCTATTACTATTGTTCTCAAACTTTTGTTATAGCGATTATTTCTCTGCATACTTCACATGGATTAGTCTAGCTTTGGGGCGAA